GGGGGGCTGGGGCTGGGGTTAGGGCTGGGGTTGGGATTGGGATGTTGTATATATGGTACTAAGTGAGTATACGGTATGCTTTGGTCTTGATAATAGGTAAGTTTGGATGCGCGTGTGTGTGTGTGTGGGTGTGTAAGGGGGTTATCGTGGTTGGGTTCTGTTTTGTTAATGGATGGATGGTGTTTACTTGGTATATTATAGAGTATGAGTACCTACCTGGTTTTGGAATGAGGCTGAGGCTGGAGGGGGAGGGGGGGTGTTAGGGATTTATGATATAAGTCTGGGGGGACTAGATAAGGTGTATAGGGTTTGGGTGTATGGAGTGAAGTGGATGGATGGATAGGTAGTGTAGGTGGTGTAGGTGGGTAGGTGGTTGGGTGGTTGGGTGGATGTAGGTAGGTGGTGAATGGGATTCACTGGGCTAAGTGGGTAGCTGTGTATACGGAGGAGTGCTATACGTATGACAGAATGAGGACTATGTAGTGGATGGATAGGTAGGTTGGTAGTAAATGTAAATTCTACTCAATTACTCTGATTTACTGAAGTAGAGTGATTATATGGGAGTTTTAGGAAAAAGTGAATAAATTAAATAATATCTTTTTTTAACTTAGGTATATCTTAAGATTTCGCTTAAACATGTTATTGTTATCGTGAGTTTATTAAAATCCTCCTTATTTATATAGTACTTTTAATAATAATAATAGAGTAATAGAATTTAGGTAAAGTATTTCAACAAAACACTATCGCTTATTTCATCCACCTATTACTAACCTTACTGGAATACAGAGAGAGAAGCTAGCTAAGGGGGAGCGGAGTCTCATATACGACCTGTCTGTCGGCCTGGAAGCGTCCGGAATAGGACTAGCGCCTTCCATGGAATATGCTAGTGCCAGACAGTGGAGCCGAGATCTCGTATCGTAACAAGAAGAGTCTATAATTTACAAGGCTGAGCTGTAGCTAGTAGGTTAGTAACAGTCTGGCCGATATCCTGTATCGCTAACGAAAGAATCAAGTCAAAATCTTTCGCAATAGTCTGGGCCAAGGAGGAATCAACCTTTGCGCTCCAGTACGCGAGATTGATCTTCCAGCTGTCCTTGGTCTCCTTTACTAACAACATCATATCATACTATAATTCAAATCAGCAAACCATCCATCTACATACGCAAAGGTGTGCTTACATCAAAGGGATCAACACCCTCCACGACGTCAAATCTCAAGGATGGCTCTTCCTCGACATCAGGCGCGGGGAACTTTCTGAAATTGACCATGGTGTTAAACAACGGCATATCGATGCCTAGTCCATGCTCAATGTGTTGCATATCGCAGACTTGATGAGCGGAACTCTCTGCAAAGTCATCTCGGACAGTTTCTAGCAGTCTTTTGACAGTCGTATCTCCAGAGAGTTGTATGCGAGAGATGAGAGCGGAAAACAGAGGGCCCGCCGTTTCTTCGGCTGCCTCTCTACCGGAGACGAGGTAGCCGAAAATTATGTCCTCGGGATTAGAAGAGGTATGATGTTTGAGAACCAGAGACCAAATTGCGCAGAAGAGGTTGGAAACAGAGATACTTTGACGTTGACAGAATGCAGAGAGCATGCCAGCATGCTTGAGATCGATATTGACGTAGCGAACGACAAAGTCGACGTTTGTTCCTAGGTCATCAGCTCTAGGAATCTGTGGCAGGTAGCATGGCAACGCACCACCACAGTACTTCTCCCAGTATGCAGAATCTTGCTCCAGGCGTCCCTGAAGCTGGGCAGTATGTTGAGAAAAAGACGCTGCGGGGGATACGTTTTGCATGCGACCGTCATACTGTAGTCGAAGATCCCTCAGTAAAACCATAAGGGACGCGCCATCTGTTATTGCATGGGAGATCTCAATCTTCATCGATAGCTCTCCAGAGGGAGCTCGCCGAAAGGTGAGCCGGTGGGGGACGCCAGCTTGGCGATAGTCTGAGATATCCGAGACCTTTGACCTCACTTTTAATGACTGAAGGTTATCCGGATCTGTGTCGAGTACAAGAACTTTTGCGTCGACTTGCTTTAAGACAACTTGGCAATGTTGACCATTATCATGGTCGCGTCGCACAAGAATAGTTCTCATGATTTCATGGCGGTTGACAATAACATTCTAGGCTTCGATTAGGCGTTCAAGGTTGATTTCTTCTCGTCCCTCAATGTCGAAGATCATCTCGGTATCGTAAAACCCAGGCATTTTCGTCTGGATTGCTAGGATTCGCTCTTGCATATGACTGTAAGGCAGAGCAAACTCTACATCGGACTCTTGTATTCCATACGACTGGAGAGCGGCACCGTCTAGTATTGCATCTTTAAAGGTAACACTGACCGGTTCGGGGGCAATCTCTGTCTTGATGGCAGCTTCTGACCTTTTGGAAAGATCTGCTAAATTATGCGATACAAGAATGTCTTGTACTGAGAGAGAGATTTCTTCTGATCGACAATGTTGGACAACTCTGATGGCAGAGATCTAGAAGTATTATTAGCATACATTCTATGACTATCACTCTAAACATACCGAGTCACCACCGTATTGGAAGAAGGATTGCTCTGCATCAATTATATCAGTGGGGAGAGAAAGAACTGAGGCCCAAATTTGCTGTAGTCTTAGCTCTAATGGCGATGTACACTTCTTTCCGACACCTTGGATATTGAAGGATAGCAGACTCAAACTAGAGCTCAAATCAGTAATTTTCACATGAAATACAGCACGAAACAAAGCTTACTATATATCCTCAGAAATCTCATTCACCCATTTGGAAATGGTTGACCGGTCCACCTTTGTCGAGACTGACAATGGGAGACTTTCAAGCACAGCCCACACCGTGGGTATAGAATAACTCGGAAGGTTGTCGGCCAGTTTTTGCTTTATTTCGGAGATTCGGGTGGTCGCAAGATCGTTTAATTCAGCAGGCACGAGATGGATCCCGGCTTGAACAGGAATATCGTGTAAGCTGATGATGGCTACCAGTTGGCTTTTGCATAGGCCACTATTTGTATTAGTAAACAAATCGCTAATAAAGAACCGAAATTTCATAAATAACTTACCTTTTTGGAACGATGGTAATGTTTTGTCTGACCGTCTCATGGCTGCCGATCCAATGCTCGATCTCTCCCAGCTCAATGCGCTGACCATTGATTTTGACCCGGTCGTCCTTTCTAGAAATAAATTCTATTTTGCCTTCCGTGTTGTAACGAACCAAATCACCTGTTTTGGTTAGCATTATTTCAGACGAATCTGATCAGGAATACAAAATCATACCTGTTTTGTAGAAGCGGTCGGAGATTCCCAGACCTGGTATTTGCTGGATCCATCGAGGACCCGTAATGAATGACTTCTGTGTCTTCTCAACGTCGTTCAGATATCCATTGGCAAGACTAGCCCCGCTGATGAGGAGCTCGCCCGGAGTACCAATAGGAGCAAGCTATACATAGATTAGTGGGTGATCCAATAAAAAAGAATGGTCCTACCTTATGATGGTCATCTGGCACTACAATCCATGTCTTCGAGCTCACAGCACGACCAATAGTAGTAAAGGCAGTATCAGAGCAGATTTCGTGGGTCACTGCAAAGACAGCTGTTTCGGTAGGGCTTGGCTTCTCGTTAGCAGGGTTCTTGGTGATGGATTAAACGAGAAAAGCCTACCATAACCGTTCATCAGATGAACCTTGCCCGCCCATTTTTCAATGTCTGCTTTACCAACAGCTTCTCCACCAAGCACCAAAGTGCGTAGAGTTGGAACCTCGCTCGTTTGGAGCAATCGCGCGACACTAGGTGTCAAAAAAGTCCAATCACTTCGTAGCCGTGTCATTGCCCCGGCAAGATCATTCATTCGCTCGTGCTCTGACGGTACCTGAAATTGTAAATTAGAAAAGCCCCTTGATCAAAAGCCCATGACTTACACAAACTGTAGCACCCCGTGTTAATGATGTGAAAATCTCAGCAACAGATGCGTCGAACGTATATGAGGCGAATTGAAAGACGCACGAATCCGACGTAAGGCGCATTGCCTCGCCATGGCCGTTTGTACTGGTGCTGACTGCTTTATGGGTCAAAACAACACCCTTTGGTGTACCAGTACTACTAGATGTGAACAGGATGTAAGCATTGCTTTCCGGGGTTACGTCGACTCTGGATAGCCTGTCACGACATTGCTCAGTGATGGGAGGTAAGTGTGAAACGATGTCACTGTCTATCGCCAATAACCGAACCTCTGGAGCGATGTTTTGGAGGCTTTGCGAGTGTCGTGGTGATGTAAGTAAAATCCGTGCTTGGACTTGTTTAAACAGACCGAGTTGACGTTCAGGAGGGTGGCCCGGGGAGATTGGAACATAAGCACATCCAGCTATCCAAAGTCCAATCATCGATATCACAGCAAAAATATCCTTGTCAAAGACAACTGGTATAATCATGCCAGGACATACTCCAAGGTCGAGAAGGGCGATGGCTATTCTCTGTGAGAATTCCATAAGCTCAGCATAGCTGATATCTCCTTGTGATGTTGAGCAAAGGGCAACCTTTTCTGGAGATTCACGAGAAGCGCTCAGCTGATTTGGTATGGTGAACACAAGTGGCGATGATTTTAGGATCCTCAGCATTCCAGTCGATGATCTCTCTGAAATCCTCTGGGCTGCCCATCTCGATATCGCCCAAACGAAGATTGCCCGAATCTTTATTGTCTGTCACAGCCAGTCGTTGCAGGATAGTTGCAAATTGGTGGAGCATGCGATTCATCTCACGGGAATGAACATAAGCGGGATCGAAATCAGCGGTAGCCAAGAGGCCGCCATCCTCAATGGCGCATTGCATAATCAGTGGGACAGTGTTAAAATTGTCGCTTCCTGTGGAGACCCTAGTACCGAGCGTTTTCAAGTTGGTGTCCCTTGTTTTCATTTGCACTACAAGCAAATTTTGAAAATCACACGCAGAATGTGCAGCCTGCTTGATATTTTGCAGACCAAAGTGACTACATACATCAAATTAGCTTTCTGTAATATAATAGAAGATTATTCGGCACGGGTACAAACGCGAAGTTGGTCACATCAGTGGACTCTTTCTGAACGAGTTGCAGGAAGTCCTTGACTGACTGCCGATGGTCGATTTTGACCCTCAATGGAACAGTACTTATGGTCGGACCTACAATTTGTTCTATTCCTGCAATGGGTGCAGTTCTTCCAGAAAGAGTAGAGCCAAAAAGAACAAACTCAGAGTTTGAATATTAGCCCATGAGAAGTGCCCATGCTGCTTGGACGACTGTTGCAGTGGTAATCTCACTCATGCTTCTATTCAGCTGAATGGGTAGCTGGGAATTCGATCGAGCCGTGACTTTATGATCAGAGCAAAGGCGGGCTTCGGGAAAGGTTGCAGCTTGCTCTGAATCTTGAAGATAATTCATCCAAAATTCTCGTTGTGTGTCCTCCTTTACACTTCCTAGATAGCGAATGAACGAGTTGAATGGCTCGAATTTGTCTGACGCCAGACCAGAATATTTTCCATCGATCAATGCATAAATCGTTGGTAGTGGTTGTCCATCGTAGAGCGAGTGGTGGATTGTAAGAATGAAATAGTTACCTTCTTTTTCGGGTTTTTCGACGAGACCGAATCGCACAAGCTGCGTTCCGAAAGACATCTCACGTCGATCTTCTTCCAAATACTCCTTCAATGATCGACTGATTTGCCACTTGGACCTTTCTTCTAGAACCGCCTGCAGAGAACAGGATTCGATAGTCGATTGATATATTCTGGTCCGTAGAATTGGTATCTCTCTGGAAACAGATTCGCAGGCTTGTCGGAACCTGTTCATGTCGAGATCTTCGGGAAGCTTAAAGATGTCCTGATTAACGTACGATCCAGAGCGACTGGACGACATTGCGAGAAGGCCTTCTTGGAGTGGAGTTGCAGGATATATATCTGTAACCCGGGCCTCCTCAATTCCACACGCCTGAGAGCACTCGAGAATCACCGACTTTGGATCTGTAGATTTCAGGATCGAGAAGCAGTCGGGAGGCTGTATTTGGCATTGCCCCTGAAGAGCTTGCATGTGGGGCACCATCTTGACGAACACTGGATTTCGGAAGATATCCGCAACAGTTAAAACGAATCCCTGAGCGCGGCATACAGACACCAATTTCATCTATTGAAAGTTAGCCTTATAAAAGTCCAATGGGTAAAAAAAAAGCAGAAGAGGCCATGAGATATAAAAGGCTGGCGGTGGTAGCATAAAAGAGACCTCTACTTACAGCCGACATGGAATCACCGCCAAAGCTTCGGAAGAAATTATCGTCCAGGCCGATTCCTGTTACATCCAGCACATTCAAAACCTGTGCCCAAAGTTTCTGTAGAACCTTTTCAACGGCTGTACGTGGTGCTCGCTTGACGCCCGCGGTTGATGTAAAGTTTGCCGGTACTAGCCTCGACGCAATCTCCTTGAGTCTTCTTCGATCAAGCTTGCCAGAGGTTGTCATGGGAATCTTTCGGAGGGGTACCAATGTTGGGATCATAAACTGTGGCAGATGTTCTGACATTCTCCTGATCCATGGGCTGGCGAGCTGATCCAGTCGCACTATGGTCTCAGTAGCAACGTCCTCGAGATTACCAGATGCGCCAAAGTGGCCATCAGGGCAAGAAAATGCAACGAACCCGACCAAAGCGGGCTCATTTCCGCCTCGAAAGCGAACAAGCTCGACGGCAATTTGCCCATTTTCCCCACAGCTCTGGAGGGCGTTTGACATCCAGTGCTCTACTTCCGCGATTTCAATTCTTTGACCTGCAAGAGTGTCATTGATGTTAGCAGAAATCCCCTATACCACGAGGTTGTGGGATGGTGTAGAAGGTTTCTTACCATGAAGCTTAATTTGTGTATCCTTTCTGCCAAGGTAAATAAGCGAGCCATCTGAAGAATACTTCGCCATGTCTCCAGTCTTGTAAGCGCGGCTGTTGGTTCGATCTGTCATCCATGGCATATTTTCGATAAATTATGCACTGGTTTTGGTTGGATCGTTGAGATAACCGCGAGCCACAATCGGCCCTTCCACGACTAACTCACCCGGTGCCCCAATGGGCATAAGACGTGTGTGGTCTGTAGGGCTGACAATCCAGCTGATGCTTGAGACAGATTTGCCTGTTTTCGCAGGATACAAGATATCAGGGTTGTCGTTCACAGTACAGGTTACACATGCTGTTCCATATTAGATTGCTCCACGTTCAATAATTTGTACTGCTTCGATACATACCTTCGCTGGGTCCGTAGACATTAATCAATTTTAAGCGCTGGCTCCAATTGAGAATGTTGGTAGTAGTCATTGCTTCACCACCAAGAGCCATAACTCTGAGGCCAGGTACCTCTTTGAGAGGGATGAGATTTGCGACTGATGGCGTGATATGTATCCAGCTAGAGTTTGATCGGGTAAGCTTTGAACAACAGGAACCCTAAAAGATTCATTTCACTTACTTCACACCCATTCGATTGATCGCCCCAGCTATATCGTTCATTCGCTCATACTCTGATGGGACCTAAAAGACTATATTAGGAAAGTATTTAGATATGAAACAGAAACTTACACAAATCGTGCCGCCCACAATCAGGGTAGTGAGATGATCCTCCATAGATGTATCAAAACTGTACGAAGCGAATTGTAGAATTCTTGACCTGGAGTCGATTTGGGTTTTTTCCCGGTGCCCTTCGGCGCTGGAGCAATAGGAACCATGTTCAATTATAACGCCCTTAGGGTTCCCCGTGGACCCTGATGTGTAGATGACATATGCAGGATCAAGATGTGTAACAGACGGGGGCCATTGAGGATGCTTGGCTGTCTGGCGCAATTGTGCTTCATTTCCATCCACAACAACAATGGTTCTTATTTCACCAGCAAGCAACTGTGAGTGGTCTCTGAAAGTCAGAAGTACATCCGCACCAAGATCAGATACAATTGAAATAAGACGACTCTTTGGGTGCGAAGGATCCATACGGCAAAACGCAGCTCCAGCTTTCAGCACTGCGAGCATGGACACGGTGACCCATTTGCTCTTTTCCATAAGAATAGGGACATAGCTTCCACGGCCCACGCCGCAATGCGACAGCTGGTATGCTAAATGATCAGAAAGCTCATGTAATTCTTGGAACGTGAATGTGCCATCCCAGCTAGTCACAGCGTCCTTTTGTGGTGTTGTGATGTGATGTTTGGCTATGACCTCGTGGATACACCGTTCCGTCCGCGGAGGCACATGGGAATTCCAAACCTGTAGCTGAGCCTTATCTCTTTGGCTCATGAAGTCCAGTTCTCTCACGGTTGCGCTTTTGCCATCCACGATCGAAGTGATGATCTGATCAAACGTATGGGCAATGTTTTTCGCATAGTGCTCTGAAATGTGATCGTCTCGGTGCCTCAATGTCGCAGATAGCTTTCCACTCTCCTCTCTTATCAAAACAGAAATATCGTACTGTTATTTAGGCTTGATCAGCATGAAGAGATAAAGACAGGCCTGAAACAGCGCCTTCAGTTTCATAGGACAGTAATAGAGCGAACTTACCTCTATAGCATCATAGTCTGCAACGAACTTGACATCAATACTCGCATCCTCCGCCCGTCCATTTTGAGGTACCCGTAAGTATGATAGAATTGTATTAAACAATCTAGCATCTCCTGTGAGTCCCAATTCTCTGTGTAATTCTACCAATGGTGTGGTCTGATGTTGTAGACTTTGAGACAAGCTGTCTTGAATTGTATCCAGGAATCTTAGACAGTTGGCACGATGTTCAATTCGAGTTCGGCAAACGACCATGTTCATCAGGGGACCGATCACGTGATCTATACCAAGAAATGGGATATCTCTCCCACTGGTCAAGGATCCGGAAACCACTTCATCGTCTTGTTCATTATAAAAGCTCAAATATAAAGCCCACGCTGCACGAAAAATGGTGGATTTTGTCGAGCCATTTTCAATGCAGAATGTTTGAATTCTGTCATGGTCTAGTGCTGGAACCACCACAGAGAGGACTTCGGCCTTAGCCTCGCTAGCTGCGATATCATGAGGCAATTCGCACGGACGGACTCTCTCAAGATACTTTTTCCAGTAAGCGAGGTTGCTGGCCTGCGGTTGCTTCTGTAGGTATTGCATATAATCGTAGTATTGAAGAGTCGGGCCTTTTGCTAACCTAGCATCGTAGGCGGCGATAAACCCGTCGATCAAGGGGGTAAGAGAACTTCCATCGGTAATAGCGTGACTCATTTCAAGTTTGCAGAACACTTTACCATTCTGCAAGCTATGACATATGGTTAGATGATGCGGTGGAAAGTTATCGGAGGATTGCGAGGGCGGTAATCCGAGAACTGTGTCGTCGCTATCTGTTTCTATAATAGTGATTTGTGGCTGGAAAGCTTCAAAAACAACTTGGCTAAAGTGACTGTGCTCCGAAATGTTTTGGACAAAAGCTGTCAGAAGAATAGCGTGACGTGTGACAACTTCAGACCAGGCGTTGCGCACTTTTCCGAGGTCGATATCTTCATTGGTGGGGACAACTTGGAAGATAAGCTCGACTCGGTAGGTTGTTGGGTTCTAGACAGCAATGGGTAAACAAAGACGGCATTAATGATCGGAGTTTGGAAATGGTACCTTGATTTGGCTAATAAGAAGGCCTTGTTGCATTGGGGAACATGGGTAAACTCCTGCAACCCTCAAGCCAGAAGCAGCTTGAATACTGCCGATTATGTCCTGGTCCACTAACCTGTCCTCTTCTTTCAAGGTGGCGGGAACGAGTGTGGCATCACTGACAGAGCTTTCAATTCCTACCTGGACTGCAGACGCCTTGTGCGCAACCTCTGAGAGCTTCTGAATTGTTTGAAAACGGAGAATTTGACGAACGGTGACTTCATATCCCAACTTACGATAGCCCCACATAAGTTTTATTGCTCTGGGTGAAAGTTAGAAAGCAAATCACAATCATACATCAAAAACCGGGGCAGGATTACGAGATTGAGTCTCCACCCAAGGCGATAAAAGACGTTGCCATCCCTATTTTTAACTTTGAACCCCTAACACATCGCTCCAGACATTTTGGAAAAGACGTTGTGTATCGTTCGCTGGTTGCTTTGGGCCTACCTCCTCCTCCGCTTGTAGATCATGATTCTGAGTCGTTGCTTCTAGCCAATTTTTCACCTTTGGCCGGTCGAGCTTAGTTGATCGGTTGAGGGGGGACTTTTCGAGGACAATCCACCCTTTTGGCACCATATATGCAGGCAAGAGACTGGAAATTCTAGCCTGTAGGGTATCGATGATAACCTTTCCTGTTACTCTCTGACTTCCAGATATGACGTTGATATCCGCTAAGGTAGATGCCGAATTGTCGCTTTCGTATCCCGAGTCACTCGTGCTGGTGCTGGGAACAGGCCAGTGTAACGAGACCATGGCAGTAATACGCTTCTTGTATGCACCCTTGTCAGGCAAGAACACAGCAACATGTTCGACTGACGGAGAGTCCGAAATCTGTCGCTCAATTTCTCCTATCTCAATTCGTTGTCCATTAAGCTTGATCTGGCTGTCCTTTCTGGAAATAAAATCCAAAGTCCCATCGTGATTTTGCAACACCAAGTCGCCAGTTTTGTAGAATCTCCCAATTGGACCAAACCCTGCAGCCCAGCGAGGGTTATTTATGAATGAATCCAAGGTCTTCTGGGGGTCATTCAGGTAGCCCGCTGCTAAATTAGATCCTTCGATCAAGAGCTCGCCCACTGCACCAATTGGAGTAAGAATATTGTGGTCACCAGAGTCAACGACCCAAAGACGACATCCTACCCCACTACCAATGTTTTGCGCTGAGTGCGTTTTGTTACTCTTGTCATCAATGGGATTTACCATGCAGATTATCGCAGCTGTGAGAGATCTCGGAGTCAGTATTGCCACGTTCAGTAATGGTGTAAGATTACACGCTATCAAAAGTCGTTATGCCAAAAGTCTGGTACAACTTAATTAATTGTCCTATTTCACCTCGGTTAACAAGGAGTGAAAAGTATTAATTATTCTAAACCATTCGTATAATTGGTTTACTTGTGCCAGACCTTTGGCATAATAACTTTCGATAGCGTGTACAGAGTAGTGACCGCCTCTCTTATATCTTCCGTGCTTCAAGGTGAAATACAGAGGAAGAAAGTATCTCTCAGGAGTAGACACTTCTCAATCTTCTCCGAACAGCCCAGGGGAGGAAGAGCGACACTTACCTTCTGTGGGTCCATACGCAATTTTTAGCTGTTTAGACCAGAGCTGAATGCAATCCTCTGAGTGAGACTCTCCTCCAGAGACTAAAGTCTTTAGATTTGGAACATCCTCAGGTCTGAATAATTTCAACAGGACGGGAGTGAGCAACGCCAAATTTACTATGTCATAAGTTAGAATGACGAGGAAATCAATTGAAGCAGGAATTTGAGAGTGAAGCTTACCTTTCATACTATTGATTGCAGGCGCAATGCCTTCTGGGCCATTGATCTCAGCAGGAATACAAACACAACCGCCGAAGCAGAGCGTGGTCATAATCTCTCCAACGCTGACGTCGAAAGTGTAGGCGCAGAATTGCAGCATTCTAGTTGACTTGCTAAATCCGATAGCTTTTCCATGGGCCATCATACTTGTACAGGCAGCTCGGTGCTGTAGTACTACGCCCTTTTACTTGGATAAGCGAAGCACGTGACAAGAGAAGGAAATGATAGGTACCTTTGGGGTTCCTGTACTCCCTGACGTAAAAATAACATATGCCGTATGATTAGGGGTAACGACGGACATGGGGACGAACGGAGTTGATACATAATTCAGATTCGCGAAGCTTGTGGAGTCCAAAGCAATGACATTCGTAGCCAGCTTGGAGCAAAGATCGGCGTTTTTGGGAGATACAAGCATGACTGGGAGCATGTTGTCGTTGGGGGAAATCTGCTTGCAGATATTTTGTAGTCGTAGGAGTGGTAATCCTGAGCTCAACGGAACAAAGCTATTAAATTTAGTGGGCGGTATCACTCTCATTTCCTCTGTCAACTCACGCCGCGCCTGTTTTCATTACTGCAATCTTCGAAACTATTGCCCAAAGACTCTTCTCGAAACATAAGGGAACAAAGTTCTGAGTCGAACCTACCCCAAGATTAGCTAGCCGTAATGCCAATGCATTTGATACTTGTTCCAGTTCCCTAAATGTTAGATTCCCGTCCCAAGAATGAACAGCCGCACTGTCCGGATTTTGCTGAGCGTACTGGTAGATAACTTCATGAATGACCCGATCCACTACTTCAGGCTCTTCTTCATTCCATTTTCTGAGTGTGGTTCTGTCATACGGACTGAACACCTCTATATCAGAAACAGTGTGTTGAGGTTCTTCAGCAAGCAGTTGATCGTATACGTGGTGTATTTGGAACATCAATGACACCGCCTGTGCTTCAGGAAACACGTTTGGGTCGTAAACTGCTCTAATATTTATGCCTCCCTCTTCCAGGAAGCATTCCAGAACCAGAGAGTAGCTATCGAAGCCAAGTTCCCTATATTCCACAAGCTGCAGCACTGCTTCATTGGCGACCATGTCTTCTAGGCTCTGGTTTTGAACAACAAGGAGACTCTGGAAAACGCAGGCGTGATCGGTGTGAGAATCAAGCTTCTTGATGTTCTGCAATCCAATGTGCTCGTACCCTGCGTGTTCGAAAAGGGTGATTGATTTTTGCTGGATGTCATCGAGAAGGGAAGTGATTGTTTGCGCTTTGCTAGAAGCCCTAATTCGAAACGGAATCGTTGCTATAGTAGGCCCTTGCAATTCGCCAATTACTGGCACGGAAGCATTTCGACCATTCAACGTTACTCCATAAACTATGTCCTCATTTGAATTTGAGTATTGAGCGGCCACAAATGCCCAAGCTGCGCGTAGATGTGTGGTGGTTGTATGATTTGAGAATCCAGGTTTGGGGGTACTGATTCGATGCTGTACGATTTGCGTGGCACGGCGCTCGCCATTGAAAGTCGAGGGAAAACTCGATGGAGTTGCATCCTCGAGTTCTGCTTTCCAGAACTCGTCAATAGCATTTTTATCCAGTGTTGATAAGAATCGAGTCAATGATGTCATGGACAGTGCGAAGCAGGGCGCGAGTCCCTTGAAGAGTCGGTCGAACTCTTTTAGCAGTAGAGATAAGCTATATCCATCATAGATGGAGTGGTGCGCTGTCCATATAAAGAAATTCTCGCCGTTCTGTTCAACAATACCGGTGCGATTCAGAGGTTGGTGATATTCCATGGAGACCTTTTTGTCGTGAGATAGATATTCGTCGAGGGATGAGGATGTGGCCCAGATCGGGGATTCATCGACAACCACTTGATAGGCAGTTTTTCCAAGTACAGCTATCCGGGTTCGAAGTGTCTCATTGTACTGGTGCAGCTTCTCCCAGGACTTTCTGAATGAATCAACGCTTGCTGTTGGTAAGCGAAATACGTATTGAGCAACATATGCGCCTGGTTGAGCCAAACTCAAGGCCATCATTGCTTCTTGCAATGGCGTACAGGGAAAGATATCTAGTATTTGAGCTGGTAACAAAGTGGAATTACTCGCAACTTCACTGACTGCCTCTGCTGGATTTATCGTGCCATTGAGAAGGGTGAAGGGGGCTGGCCTCTTTGAATCAGCATCAGCTCCCTTCTCTGCAAGGAGAAAAGTGGCCATCAGGCGCAGGCTACCTTCCGACCGCAAAATATTTGCAACGGTCAGAATGAACTCTCCTTTCCGAGCTAACGATGAAAGACGCATGGCTGAGACGGAATCAGCGCCCAGCTTGAAGAAGCTGCTATGCAGACCTATCATTGTCTCTTCAATTCCAAGAGCCCGAGAACAAAGGCTGCGAAGAATCTCCTCCATTGGAGCCAATGGCTCTTCTTTTGACGAACCATCCTCACTTTGGATCGTCAAGGAGAAGTGTTGTATCTCGGTATCTGTGAGTCGTTTGGCAATTGCGCGTAAGCTTGCTCTATCCAATTTACCAGAGGCCGTGAGGGGTAATTCATCCAGAGGGATGTATAAAGATGGAACTTCGTATTCAGGAAGAGATTGAGAAAGTGCTCCCCTTAGCTCATGGAGGGCAATTTCTGTCGATTCTGAGAAGCCGACTAAGCCAGAAGAGCTCCCGTGAAACTTTGGGCCATCCTTTGCGAGGAAAAAAGCAGCAAGCATGTTTTGTCGACTCCCTGGGGCCACCAACTCTACCCCTGCCAGCGGGATGCTAGGCAGTATTCGCCTTATTTGATGCTCTACCTCACCAAGTTCCAGACGTTGGCCCCTAAGCTTAACTTGCCCGTCTTCTCGCCCTACATATATGAGTCTTCCATTAGAGTCGAAACGTGCCAAGTCACCAGTCTTGTAGAGATTAGGCCTGGTAGAACCCGAAGGGAGGCCGAAATGATCTCGCCAATGTGGAGCATCTATAAGCACCTCTTTTGTTTTGTTTAAATTCCCTAAATAACCTCGCATAAGTGCGGGTGACTCCATTAGAAGCTCGCCTCTATCCCCGATTGGCGTGAGCTGCAAATTATCAGCATTTTTGATCCTAAAAGTCAACCAAAAGAATTGGGTTACAACAAGAGAAAGAGTTGCCAAAACAAGCGAATTTGAACAGAGATCTATGCGACACACTATAGACAAGAGGAGAAAGAAGCACAAAGACCTACCTTCGTTGGGTCCAGAGGGTCGACAAGCCAACACAGCCCTCCCAGTCCCTTTCCGATGATTATTTCGGGACAGCGACTTGTATTTGCCACAAATTCGTGTCTGGTGCAGAACACTGTGGTTTCAGTTGGGCTTTTTTGGTACGTTAGCTTTCATCCCTTCTCAATAAGACAGAAAAGTGTGACCATAGCCATTAAAAAGGCGCAGCTTATCAGCCCATGCGGTGACGTCTTCTTCCCCTAACGCCTCCCCCCCTAGCACAAGTGTTTCAAGGGTTGGTACCTCTTCATAAGTAAGGGTAGGAGCCACTGTTGGCGTGAAGAAAGCCTGTATTCTCAATTAGAGGTGTTTTTTTATATGACGAACTCTGCTTACCCATGTGACTCGCATATTTCTTATGCTTTCAGCAAGACTAGATATACGCTGCTCATCTGAAGGGACGCAAATACAACCCCCGAAAACCAGCGTAGTGAATATTTCGGCTATGTAAGCATCAAATGTATATCTTTACATTCGCCAAAGGTAAGCACTCGCCAAGCTGATAGAGGGGGGAGGACGTTTCTTACGTGGCAAACTGGAAAACCCTAGATTGTTTCCCAAACTTCATGGAACGACCATGGCTATCTATACTGGAGCTGGCCGCCCGATGCTCAATTACAACACCCTGACACGTCTTTTAGCACATTTCACATCGGGTTTGAGGGACAAGGGGAAACGCATTACCTTTGGCTTTCCAGTACTACCGGAGGTAAATAAGATGTATGCAGTGTTATTAGGTGTAACCACTGTCTTTGGAATTTCATGGTATGCCAGAAGCTGAGCAATGGAGCGTTGTGAAACTGGTATCACAGTCTCTGCGAGGTTCTGGCATAGTGTTTGATACTGAGGCGCTACGAGAATAATGTGCGATTGCATTTGATCCACAATGTCCCGAAGTCTCTCTTCGGGATGGTCGGGGTTCAATGGTACGAAGCCGGCGCCAGCCTTCAAAGTGGCTAGCATTGCAACAACTGAGAGATCTGAGTATGCATATTATCATCTGACAAGCGAGGGAAATACATACCAGTCCACAGACTTTTGTTGAAGCATATTCCAACAAGTGATTCGGGACCTGCGCCAAGGTGTACTAGATGATGAGCAAGCGTTGACGAGAGTTCGTTAAGCTCCTTATAGCTGAGCTCTCCATCCCAACTACAGATTGCGGAGCTTTCGGGTTGCAGACGCGACATTGTCACAATCGATTCGTGAACGAGCAGGTCAACTCCTGTTGGCACCAGGCAATTCCATTTCGCAATCTGTTGTAAATCTGGTGCACAGATTTCGTTTTCGTAGCTCCCCTGTTCTTTGGGAGACAAACGAGTTACAGAACTCTCTCTTTGAGTTGATTCCTCCATCGCTAGCAAGGTACAAGACGAAAAATATGGGGTATAAAACTGCAGATTGCTAAAGGTAACGAGATGAGGAAATCGAACAAGTACTGATTCGATAAACAATTTCAAGACCACAGAGGGAAATATATCCTTTCCTTATTGATATCCATCCTTATTTCTATCTGATTTGAAACAGCTCGGCGCTGGATATTTCCCGCGAAAGAGACATCCTGGGCCGGCAATGACCATCGTTGCTTGCCGTAGTGGATATCGAATGAAAAGGATGTAACATCAAAACGTTTAGTAGACCTAGCCTTCCACATGTATAAATCGACACCATATTATTGAAGGCTCGTTGACTGCAGTGGGTATGGGAGTACTTGCGAATTCCTCACTGGAGGAGACTTTCTTCATGGGAAAATTTCCACTGTAGTCAGACTCATGGACAGCTACCCCTACGCTGGTATACATCCTTAAACACTCATGGCAGCAAGGTTATTTAAGGTGTAAAAGAATATTAAGACGTCAAAATTCGAGGACATGGCTGAGATATCCTTATATGAGCATCCTGGCAAAGAGATTCTCCGGTCGAGCTTCTGCCCATAGTCTCCAAGGAAATCCGAAATATAGGAAGACTTCTGGTATACTTAAACGTAGCATTCTGCGGCCGGCAGGAGCTGCACTTGCAAGCTTCGAGTCTCTCAAGGACTTAGTCCGATTCTTCTCGAGCCAGGGCTTCAATCTATGATTTGGTGCTTCGCTGAAACCATCGATGATGTAGCTATGGCGGGGCGGAGAGGGAAATAGAGAGGGAGAGGGATATGGGTTGTCGTTGAAATACCCAGCCCAGCCTGGAAGCGGGAGCGGAAGCGAGGCCCGACCTTTTCAAGGCGACGGGCCCAGGCGGGCACGTGGTCCCAAGTGTCTCTCAGAGAGGCTTGGCTGCTTTACGGTACTGTAAAGGCCCGCAAGCTTAAGACACCTCCCGGTGGACAAGAAAAGTGGCAGAGATTCATTTTTTTAACTATTAGCGTAAGTTAATTTTAAGTACCACCGTTTTTGAAACATCTAGAACAATTGCCTTGATTGTACTATCGTTTTCGATAAATCACTTTAATTATTCTAACTAAATAATATAATATACTTGTAATGATTTTTAGTTAAGTTAAGATCAGATAAGAGAGGTCTCTGCCACTTTACTTGTCCACCGGGAGAACACCACAGGCGATCTTTTACTTTGTTCAGATTCCCATTGATGCCTCCACCCAGGAACTTGGAACATCATCGGTGAGTTTTTTTGGCTGGCTTAGGCGGCTTGAGCAGGGGCGCTTAGACTTTCCGTACCCCGGACCGGTTTTTTTTTTCTCCTCTTGAATCCGCTTACTTCGAAGTAAGTACCCCTATTCTGTAGCTACAGTACCCCATACAGTACACCATACAGTCCCTCCTTTCTTCTCCATAATTGCCGAAATTGAAATTTGAAAGGAAGATGGAGGCATCCTCATCACTTCTTCCAGCCCACGTGCGTCGACGTCGCTAGGGACTTGCCATACCGGAAGTGTAAACTCTTCTCAATCGTGTATGAAAGACTTGCAAACAATGCGGTAAAAAGAGAGCCATTGCAAGTCTCGCATTTTTTTGCTAATAATACACGGCGCCAATCATGTTGGAAGAGAAGGCTGGAGTTGACTCCTCCGGGAGTCCAGGTAATCCTGATTCCACCATCATGTCCGAAGCTGAACGGACTCGGCTCAAAAACCAAGTAGACTTTCCTTCAGTCAAAGTTTCCTACTTTACCGTCAGTCTATTCACGTGTTTGTGAACTGGATACCCTAAGTTGACGTTGATTGATAGCTTTACACTCATGCTAGCAAGAAGGATCTTCTTATTATCCTACTGTCAGCAATACATGCTATTGCCGGGGGAGCTTCAAAACCGTTCATGGTAAAGGTGTCGCCTCCATGAAAATGACAACTCTAATGGGGAGTAGACGATAATTTTCGGCCAGGTAGCAGTCTCCATCAAGGACTACACTACTAGTTCAAGCATAACATCCGAGTTTGCCTCTAGCATATCAACGATGACTCTTTATCTTGTTTACTTGGGAATTGGACAGTATGTTCATCCCCAATGTCTTTCCTCCTCGTTTCATTGTCGTTGCTAAATCTATGCTGCCAGGTTCTTCGCCATCTTTCTCTCAACGGCAGGGTTCATACGTGCAGGTGAACACATCACCCAATCTATCAGGTGAGAGAATTCCCGCGTAGACTGATAGGACATCAAATTACTTATTATTGGAAAAGGGAGGAGTATTTGGCAGCGCTGCTGCGTCAAAACATAGCATTTTTCGATCAGATTGGTACAAGCGATCTCTCTAATGCCATAACCACAAACACGGTAAACAGCCCCCCCTCCCCAGTTCCTCATGGGCATGCATTGATATAATCCAGAATACCATCCAAGATGCCATTTCTCAAAATGTCCCTCTCGCCCTCGCGGCAGTGGCATCCTTTCTCTCAGCATTTGTTATCAGCTTTATGCGATCTTGGAAGCTAGCACTGATCCTCAGTTCAACCATTTTTGCAATCATCAGCATTAACGTTTCTGGTGCACCAAGAATTATGTACTTTCGTAAGGAGACTGCAAAGATGTACAACGCGAGCGGCGTTGTTGCACAAGAGGGTATATCGTCCATGCGGGATCTCATCGCTACTGGTTCTCAAGAACAGATGGCCCTAAGATATGATGGTCTTCTCAAAAGGTCTACTGACTGGGGATTGAAAGGTACGGTACTCAATCTCATTGACAGCATCTTCGGTTGGAGGAACAAAGTGGCAGTTAACCACCGCCGGGTTGTTCCTTTTTTCTAGAATAATTGACCTAGGTTTTTGGGGGCAATTATGTTATTGTCCTGATATGTACCAATTGGAAGAATCTCATTTTGCAAAGAAAGTTGCAACCTTAGGAAGTCTCTTTCTGACGTTCTCAATCAGACGATATGAGCTGTTGACAACATATTCCCATTTACCCCATAACCTAGGAAGCATGACTTGGACTACATGCCGCAAACTAATATTCTGATGCCTTGCTAATGTTTATTCTTGGATTTCAGCGAAGCTTACACAAGGCGGAGTGATGGGGTTGACGATCTGCGTTGTCTATCTGAACTACGTTTGTGAAATCCCCTACCGCTTGCATTCCACCGTGCTCACACCAGAATTTAGGGCTTAGCTTTTTGGATAGGTTCGCGTTATATTGTATCTGGCGAGGTTGAACTTGGTGATGTCCTCATAATCTTGCTAGCCATGATGGTTTGGTAAACAGGTACTTGTCTTTTACTACGCATAGGGTTCTAACGCAAAATAGTGCCTCTCTCGGAGAGACTTTACCGCATATGCAGGCATTTGGTGCGGGTGTGGCAGCAGCAGGCCGCATCTTCGACACGATTGCGAGAGTCCCAGCTATCAGGAGTAACTCGTCCGGTTGCCTCCAGCCTGAAAGGTTTGAAGGAAGCATTGAGCTCAGAGGTATAAGGCATATTTATCCGTCAAGGCCAGAAGCTCTAGTTCTCGATGACTTCAATCTTGTTATTCCTGCTGGTAAAACGACAGCTGTTGTTGGTACTTCTGGATCAGGGAAAATCACAATTGTTGGTCTTCTAGAGCGTTTCTATGGTAAACATCCATAACCCAAGGTCATATAGAATAAGCTAACGGTGATAACAAGATCCAATCAGCGGGGAGATATTGTTGGATGGAATAAATATCCCCAAGATGGATTTACAATATCTTCGAAAGCAGATCTCGGTCGTCTCTCAAGATCCAACACTTTTTGACTGCTCTATTTTCGAAAATATATAACAAGGACTTGTGAACAGCGGATACGTCGATCTGGGTATAGATGATAAAACAAGACTTATTGAGGATGCAGCAAAGTTAGCAAATGCCCACGAATTCATCCTGAATCTCCCCCAAGGATACAAAAGCCAAGTCGGTCAACATGGGCATCTGTTATCCGGGGGTCAAAAACAAAGAATCGCCATCGCGAGAGCTGTCGTGAAACAACCGGCAATATTGCTCCTTGACGAGCGTTTGTCATTCTTACCCCCGTTAGAACCTTTTTGCTAACTGGCTTTAGCGACCTCGGCATTAGATAATGAATCGGAAAGAATCGTTCAACTTGCTTTAGAAAAGGCTTCTTTTGGAAGAACCACAATTACTGTGGCCCACAAGCTTTCAACCATCGAAAGGGCCGACAACATAGTCGTTCTCGAGAAAGGACGTATCATCGAGCAGGGAGAGCATTCCCAGCTGATGGCACAGCGGGGTACATACTTCAACTCGGTGATGTCACAAACCATCATTACAGGAGACAAGACCCCTATCCGTGACGAAGAGATGGAGACCGAATCAGAGTCAATGAGCGACCTCGACTGCCAAGTGCTCAAGGAAAAGAGGAAGGTAGAGATACCTGAAAAAGAAACGAGTAAAGCAGTACAGGAGGATCAGTCAAGTAAAACACCGCTGAAATTTTCTTTTTTTGATCTGATTAGGTTCATTGCAAGCTTCAACAAGCCGGATGCATTGTTCATGTGCGTTGGCCTCTCTTGTTCGGTCGTTACTGGCCTTGCTACACCTGTGCACTCTATATTCTTTGCGAACCTCATAGTAAGCACATAATCTTATCGTATATCTATTCCGGTTTACTAAGACAAAACAGGTATCTCTCAGTCTTCCTGAGTCAGAATACGCCAATCTTCGACATAATGCTAATTTGTGACTTGCCCCTCTTGTGCATATTTATTATACTAACAACCATCCAGCTGGTCCTTGATGTATCTCACACTGGCATTCATTCAAGTACTTGCTTTCATCGCACAAGGTTTCACATTCGGAATCTGCTCGGAACGGTTGATATATCGATCACGCTCTCAATCTTACCGTCATATTCTGCACCAACCGCTCTCTTTCTTTGATGCGGAAGGAAATTCAATCGGGGCACTCACCACCTTCCTTTCCATACAAACGACTAACCTCGCTGGATTGAGCGGGACAACCCTGGGAACATTGCTTTCTCTGATTGCCACTTTACTAGGGGCTATAATCTTATCATTGATCGTAGCTTGGAAGTTAGCCCTCGTCTGAACTGCAACTGTCCCACTCCTACTCGCATGCGGCTTCCTTCGAGTGAAAATGCTCTCTCTCTTTGCCATTGCCTCTCGAACCGCCTATGAATTATCCGCATCACTTGCTCTTGAAGCTATTTCCTCCATACGTACTGTCACATCACTATCGCTTTCCTCAACAATCCTATCTCGTTTCTCCGACTCCTTGGCGATGCAGCAAAAGACTTCTCTCCCATCGATTCTGAAATCCTCTTGTCTCTATGCCCTATCCCAAAGTTTGATCTATTGGTGTTTGGCACTAGGGTTCTGGTACGGAAGTCAACTCATTGCAAATGGGAAATACAACATGTTGCAATTTTACATCGTCTTCATGGCAATAACGTATGGTGTCCAATCCGCGGGGGCATTTTTTGCATTCGCTCCGGATATTGGAAAGGCAAAACAGGCAGCGCAAGAGCTCAAAACGCTTTTCTGTCGTACCCCTGAGATTGATATTTGGTCCTCTTCGGGTACTCTTTTGGAAACAGTACAGGGAGAGGTTGAATTCGAAAATGTCTCATTTAGTTACGAGGGGAGACAAGAAAGTCAAGCTCAACTCGTTAAGTTTCACAGTCAAGGCAGGGGAGTATATTGCTCTCGTGGGGAGCAGTGGATGCGGGAAGAGCACGGCGATCTCGCTTCTGGAGCGCTTCTATGATCCTACTACGGGACGAATTCTGCTGGATGGAACCGATATCAAAGATGTTAACATCAATAACTATCGCAGCCATATTGCTTTAGTTGGACAGGAACCTACTCTCTACCAAGGAACCATCCGAGAGAACGTCATGTTTGGGGTGGTTGAGAACGAGATATCGGAAAGCACTTTTTTGAAAGCTTGTCATGACGCAGCAATTCATGATTTTGTGGTGAGTTTCCTTTTCTTATGGTGGTCAGATCATAGAATCCGAGTGTAATATGATGAAAAACTGACAATGTATTGATGATTTAGATGAGCCTCCCAGATGGTTACAATACGAAGGTTGGTTCCAAAGGCGTGCTACTTTCTGGTGGCCAGCGACAAAGAATCACTATTGCGAGGGCCCTCATTCGCCAACCTAGAAGTAAGGAATTTCTCCAAGACTTGACGCCAAAACCCCATATACATGATTTATTCACAAATCCCACCTAGTTCTCCTCCTCGATGAAGCGACCTCCGCCCTCGATAGCACAAGTGAAGAAAGTGTCCAGAACGCATTGGACTCCGCAGCGAAAGTTCGCACTACCATCGTTGTAAGTTTTCTTCCCTCTCCCATACAAGGAAACGACCGATTGGATTCCGGGCTGACGTAGATATCTTGATATTCAGGTTGCTCAGCGCCTTAGTACGATCAAAAACGCCGATAAAATCTACGTTCTTGACAAGGGAAGGGTCGTGGAGGAAGGAACTAATTTGGAACTCCTGGCCTTGAAAGGGAGGTATTAGAAATTGGCGAGCAAGGAAAAGGCTTGATATGAATGGCTTGGTTCTACTCAGTAGACTTGTCCTGATTCTTGTATCTTGGGGGCCAGAGAGTATTAGAGGATAATACAACCCAATACAGACAGGAGGAGTGATGATATTTGTTTTCTTACGATGTGTTTTGTAGTTATAGACCATAGACTTATTGTTAATATAAAATGTGGTCAATTGGTTCTTACAGACCCTTTACTGTACTCATTCTTACTTCAGTGGTGCTATTGCTGTTCGACACGTATAGAAAATCCAGCACCAGGTATAAACCAATATCACAATGCCTTTGGAAACAAGGACACAGTAACTTTGCTAACTGATACAAACTATCAAGAACGTTCTCTCTTCCCACCGCACCCTCATTCTAAGATACTCTATTGGATAAAACCCAATTTCTCCCTCCGTCTAGGTTAACACGCTCTATACTTGAGTATTTGTATCTAAAACCTCACTATATAACCCTCAGAAGACAGTATCTCAGAGCATGTATCTCAAAAATATCGAAGAAGTATTTCGACTCTTTAAACCCTAGTTCTATATCTTAACACGTCAGTCAAATAATCGGAGACGCTATTAACATTAAGCTATACAACAGTCTCTTTACCTTTAACAGAACATAACTAGCAAGAGTATCCACTTTTCCTTGAAAAGGTATAAAGATTTCAAAAGTCCAAACATGCGAATAATGTCCCAAGATCTATATGTGAACTTACTGTATCCTAGATGTTAGACAGTTGGGCGAAACTCTAGACACCTACTATTTATAAACCCTATTATCCCAAACTCCCTAGAACAATGAACTTGATTGTCCTAAATCATTTGGGTTAATAAAGATATACTATATTACTAGGCGAAATTCTAGACACATATATAAAACTCTGTAATAATTAAAATAGTGCTCCGAACGATTTAGAATAATTAAGATAATTGTTCTAGACATTCTAGAACAATAAGGTTTTAAAGGTATGTCTAGAGTTTCGCTCGAGAATCCTACCCTACGTACAGTACATAGACTAAAAAAACCGCCACTTATTTTGTCCACCTGGTGGGTGGCTTGCGAGTACAGTAAGGTTACATCCACCAGCGCAGGGGCAAAAGATTTTTATCAGTACCTAGAACTTGATGACATTCAGAATCTCATTCCTTTATCTCGTTCCTGTCTTATATATCTTTACCTACAAACAGTTGCATTTATATACAAATGCCAAACTGATTTCAGATTGTGTGAATACGATTAATCAGATATGCTATAATTACATTACGTAATACATGTCCACGAAAATCCATCTCTACAACTCTCCGTCGGCATCCTTTGGCACGTCAATCTCGATTTCATTGCTCGCATATTCCCCACTCTTCCCGTCCTCCATCTTCAGTTGAGACATGTCTGTCGCCACGTCCTCTTGAACCCAGAAGGTCATCCAATGCCCTTCAGTCTTGACCCGATATCGCTCGCCCTTGGTCAGTGCCACATCTGGCTGTTTTGCGACCACCGCTCTCTTTATCTCGCCATTCGCGGGCAACTCAATAATGGAATGGTCGCTAGGGGCAAAGAAGGCGGGCGGCTTGCGGTTGAGTTTGATATCTAGGCATGGCGCTGGTTCGTTTGTCTTGGTGGAGATGAATGAAAACGTACCCATTGCAACGGCTTTAGGATCGAGAGGGGATAGCCAGCTTAGGAGGAATATAGGGTGCGGCGTTTTGTTGGTGATCTTGATGTGAACTACCACTGAACCAAATTCGTATTCTGCATCAATTCCTGTCGACAACTCGACCGCAAAGGGCACCGAAGCTTCAATGGGAGAATCCGACATTCTGGCGGCCCAAGATGAACGAATGTCCGAGTACCAGAAGAGGGTGGCTGTAAGGAATGCAGCCACAGTACTGACTGCAATAAGTCGATGGAGCATTGGATCTTCTCAAGCCTCGATTGCGGTAGGAGTGAAAGTAGCTGTGTTTGGTGGTGGGGTTCAAAGTTGCTGGCGAGTTTGCAAATTCGGAGGTCGAGGTCGTTTTGTCTGCTCGGTCAATCCAAGAATGACGGCTCGATTTCCGTGGAATGTAACTGTATATTCGAGGTCCCGAAATGGTATGACCAGCTAAACGCTCAAAACTCGTGTTGGTTAGTCACCTGAGCCTGAATCTCTCGAGATTTGAGGGGCGAGAGGGGTTATCGGATTTTGGCCGAAAGCGCTTAGTTGGCCGCTTTGAACATGCAATGTTGATTCCTTCGTCGAACGCATGGAAGTATCCAGCCACTGGATTGCTCGTGGTAGCTTGATTCGACAGCGCTGAAAAGTATCAGCACGGCCTTCCGCATCAAGTAGGTGATGAAGCTCTTGCAACCATCACGTCTTTCTCTCGCAGGAGTAGTTTCTTCTGGAAGTTCTATACTGCTGCTATTATAGGCGATATGCGCTTCAATCCGATTGCTCAATTGCGGACTGTGCCAAGTTTGGAAGTCGGGATTTGGAACATGCAGGAGTATTCAGGAACAATCTCCGAACTTCCCATATCAAGTGGGAGTTTGGGTACCTGTTGGAATTCTCCCAACGAAGCCAACATCATTACCCCGCAGCCAAGAGCCAAGACGGACTCTGATCTTTAACAAGAAGCTCAAAACTCCGAGAAGACCTCTTGATGCGAGATAAGCATTGCACTTTACCTAGATCACCATGCTTAAATGTCGATCTTTCCTTGTTATCTGCTCCATCAATCGCCCCCCGGTTGTTGAGAGACGCGCCATGCCCTTCTATGCAGGACAACGTATCTGCAGTCAACGACACCCATCCGATTTAGCCATAGTTGCCCCCGCTTCTTTTGTGATATGTACGATACGATTAGACGATACGATTAGACGATACGATTAGATTGTTGCCGCCCGCAACGCTTTCTCACCTTCCTCTTTCGTCTCGCTAGTTGTCTTGGCAAACGGGCCCCACCTATCAAGACGAGACAGTAGTCATCCACACCCCTCCTGAAACTAAGCGAACTCAGTTCCATATTGTATCAATATACTTGTGTAATAATATACCTTGATGTAGCACATGATTTGGCGAATCGGGTGCGGTGGCTTGTCACCTCGCCCCGTCCCGCAACGCAAACTGATATTAACATGGCGGAGCATTATCAGATTTCCCTGATTAAATTGCCAACTGGCAATGAGAAGAAGAAGAAGAGGGGCTTCTCATGACATCAACCATACGATACATGCTCGCAGCAAAACCCCAGAAAAGGCCACGCGTGTGGGTCACCATGGCGCTGTTGAGTCGTGGGGATTTCAATGTTTGTATTCTTGTATACTTCGTCTTTTGCTTTTTCTAGCCTGATTACAAAGTCTTACAAAAGCCGTACTAGACGAGGAAGACAAAGCCAAAATGGCTTTCTATCATATTGTTTATCTGCTTCTCAGCAAAAGCATGTAGCTTTTAGCTAGTGCTAACCCAAACCCTGACTTCTATTGCTCACTAATCCCCAGACACACGGATACACTTCCAAGTTGGGCTAGATATAGTCACACACTAAACCACAAGCCAAATAGCCAGAGTCATGTTTTGTGGGCGGAGGTGTATGCAGTGTATATGGAAAATACCTCGATTGGCTCTTCTAGGAGCCTTTACCCTGTCTGGTCGACCAGGTTTCGCTTTGGTGATCTCTGGAAGGTCTCCTTTGTTATTCGGGACCCCCCGTTCGCGACAGGATCCCGAGTTATGGTCCTACGGTGTTTGCATAATCTTGATATCGCTAACTTAGACCTGCAAAAACACCTTCCACTTCCATATCTTGGCTTTTGGTTCTATGGGTTCTTTTTCCTTTTCACACTACGTTTAGCGCGGGGGCTCGGCAAAGGTCACCTGCAGTTTTGATATTGAAGCCGATCCTTGAGTTATTTTGTGTATACGGAAAAGTTATAAGTATAGCCTCTATCGCCAGGAAACAGACTTCTTTCTTCACCCACCATCACCATCAATCATTACTTCAATACCCTCTCTCGGCTTCATATCATCGATCAATATGCAACTCGCTCTTTCCGTTGTCGCCAGCGCCCTCGCGGTTGTTAACGCTGCTGTCATTGGCCGCGAAGCCGCTGCTTTGGAGGTTACTCTTACCCCAGTTAACGCTGCTGGTCAAGTTACCGCCACTGTCAGGAACGTCGGAGCCGAGAACCTCAACTTGTTCACTCTCGGTACACTCTTCGACTCTGCTCCTGTTCAGAAGCTGAACGTTGTTGATGAGAGCTGTAAGTCGCTTATTTAATTAATCTTACGCTGTTCATCCAGACGGAATGTTTTTGGTCATTTGAAAGAGACTTTGACTACAGTCAGACGATGTTTCTCGCTTAAAGTCATCATACTACGTTTCTCTGAATCTGGTTACATTTGTTCCTCTTAGCCCTTGAATTTGTAACATCCTGTGTTCTTATCTCGATGATCACAACATAATCCTCATTCTAATCTCTTACAGCTGCTCCTGTCGAGTTCAAGGGTCTCCTCCGAAGTGTCCAACGCACTGGAGTCGAGGCACAACACTTCAAGTCTCTCAAGGCAGGTGAGACCTTCACGACAACGATTGATGCAGCCAGTGTTCACGACCTTACCTCGGCAACCTACACTATGAACGCTGAGGGAGCCATCCCATACGCTATTGGCGAGTCCACCGAGATCGAAGCCGCCGTTCCATTCAGATCCAACGATATCTCCATCAAGATCGAGGAGGCAGAGGCCAAAGCCATCGAGAAAGCCATCCCAGCCAAGAGCCTTGTAGGTCGTACCGCCCTACAGAGCGATTGTACCAGCACTCGAAGAACCTCAACCCTCAACGCGCTCTCCAGATGTGCTAGTCTTGCAAGGGCTGCTGCTACTGCCGCAACGTCTGGCTCTTCAACCAAATTCAGCGAGTATTTCAAGACCACCTCTTCCTCCACTCGTTCCACTGTCGCTGCTCGTTTGAACGCCGTTGCGTCCCAGTGTGCATCCACAACTAGTGGAAATACTGATTATTATTGCACCGATGTCTATGGGTATTGTGAGAGTAATGTCCTTGTAAAAGCGCCATTTTATATATTTATTTATTGATTATTAGTTAATTTGCTAACAAATGATTAGGCTTACACCATTCCGTCCCAAAATGTTATTGTGAACTGCCCATTGTACTACTCTGCCCTTCCTGCCTTGACAAGCTCTTGCCACGCTCAAGATCAAACCACTACCACTCTCCACGAGATGACCCACGCTCCAGGTGTATACAGCCCAGGAACCCAAGATAACGGTTACGGATACAATGCTGCAACGGCTCTTTCATCTGCCCGGGCTGTCCTTAATGCAGATTCTTGTAAGACCAACCTCCTTTGAATGATATCTATGATGCTGACATTGTGATTGATAGATGCTCTTTACGCTAACGGTATATTTTCCATTTCCTTCCATTTTCCTCTACATATGATCCCTCATACTGACTTTGATAATAGCTATCTATGTTGGATGCTAAATGCATACAATGAGATGAATAGTAGAAGATGATGATGGAAAATGGGGGAAGCTTTCCGAGAGATTCACTTTTTGGGAGCTACACGCTCATTGATTGATGGTTTTATGATCGATGATCGATGATGGAATGATGATTAGGGATATGTATACAAGGGAAGATGGTGGAGGGTGTGTTAGTTGTTGTTGTTGCAAAGTACATATTTAATTCTTCATTTGTATATTCTTAGCACTATCCAACATTATACATTGTAACTTGGTGATTTCTTGCTCTTCTCATGTTACTCAATTGGATTTGTCACTTATGACTTTCTCTCGCCATTGAAGTGAGATATCATATCTAGGCCACCCCACGTTTTGATACCCGGATGATCGTCGTCCTGATGTAACCTTATCATCCAATAAAATGGGCATCTGTACGATACCTGGTCGTTACTTTGTACACACTATACAAAAATCGGTTATATAAAACTTTTAATACAAGCAAAATAATTGTTTTAGGATACCTAAGCTAGTGAAAAGTAAGAGTTAATAATTATTCTAAACTCTATATAACTATTTTAGTTGTGTGACACTTTTAGAATAATTTTATTCTAAGAGAGGTGTGTACAGAGTAACGGCCATGTCTCTTACATATCTCACTCCTCACGTTGCACAAATACGACGTCCAATCGCGTTTGAACTTTTCCGCATAAAGTGTTCCTCCAATGTTGCTGGCAGAATCCTCCTGCCCCGAAGATCCCATTTTCTGCGAATGAAGATTCGTCCCATCCCTGTTGGGGGTGGCCTGTCTCAGGAGCATCGTTTCCCCGCACTTTCCCCAAGCGAGACAAAGGCGTTAGAGCGGCACCTTCCACACCATACCAATTGCAGGTGATCTGAGCATGACATCGCGCCATGATAGCACGTTATGCACTTTTGGCACATCGTGGACCTGCCATTTATCACATACGAGTAGAAGTGAATATACCTGGATCCCACACTATTAATCTACACAATTTTGCAGTAACCATCTAACGTTTATCTTGTCTGCCTGGGATTCGTCCCTTTTGTCGCTTTCACAGAATTAATGTTACGGTCGGATGTCTGGAGACGTCATTTCGTAGCACTAAAAGGTTACGTGACGACCACGAAGTTTCGCTACACCGCCATGTCTTCGAAGGCTAGGGATCAGGATATCGGAGTAGAGGAGAGACGGTCGGTTGATAAATCTGGGGTTGAGGAGCGAAGAGACTCCAAGGAGGGTTCGGCTAGGTTGGATCTGAGTGCGGATCAAGATGATGCTGCTGCCATTCCAAAAGGGACGATCGATCCGGTTTACGAAAAAAAGGCCAGGGTTCTGAATGCGGCGGTATGTTTGATTTATTATTTACCATGAGACATGAAATCGAATATGTGGTTTGCTGACCAGGATGATTGAATCGGGGTAGATTCAAGAAATTGGCATGGGCTGGTATCAATGGCAACTCTTCATCGTTGTGGGATTTGGATGGGCAAACGATAATCTGTGGCCTATTGTTACTTCTTTGATCTGTAAGTCTCTGAAACATGAAGCATGGCATGGTAACCGATGAGTTCAGTTACGCCTATTGCCAATGAGTTTAAACCTTCTCGACCTCCTCTTCTCAGTTTGGCTCAGAACATCGGTCTCCTGGTTGGCGCGATGTTTTGGGGTTTCGGTAAGTCTATAATTTCACACTTGAATATTTCAATCTAAACACAAGCTCATTCTTTGCAGGTTGTGATATATTTGGTCGTCGCTGGGCCTTTAATCTCACTCTTGGAATAACAGCAATCTTCGGGATGGTGGCAGCTGGCTCGCCAAACTTCGCGACGATTGGCACCTTTGCAGCTCTGTGGTCCTTTGGCGTTGGTGGAAACCTTCCAGTGGACTCAGCCGTCTTTCTAGAATTCCTTCCAGGATCTCATCAATATCTCCTTACAATTCTTTCTATTTACTGGGCTGTAGCTCAGGTAATTGCAACATTAATTGCTTGGCCCTTGCTAGGGGACTTGACTTGTCAGCAGAAAGCGGCAACCTGTACCAGGGAAGATAATATGGGATGGCGATATTTTGTTATTACCATGGGAGGCATCAGCTTGATCGAATTTATTCTGAGATTTGGATTTTTCACTATTCACGAAAGCCCAAAGTATCTCATGGGAAAGGGCAGAGATGACGAAGCCATCAGGGTTGTTCATGATGTTGCGAGGAGAAATGGAAAAACTTCTAGCTGTAAGCAATCCTCGTTCTGTCAAACCTTGCAAAACGACTAACTAGGTAAGCAGTAACAATCGAAGACCTTCAAGCTTGTGAAGCTCCAGGTACAGCTCAGCACACAAACGCATCAGCAGCTCTAAAACTCAACCTCGAAAAGATCAATTTAACACACATCCGCGCTCTCTTCTCCTCTCCTAAACTCGCCTTCTCAACCTCCTTGATAATGTTAATCTGGGCTTTCATCGGTCTCGGCTACCCCCTATACAACGCCTACCTCCCATACATCCAAGCTACCCGAGGCGCCGAATTTGGCGACGGCTCAACCTACCTCACCTACCGCAACTCCCTCATCATCGCAGTTCTAGGAATCTCCGGTGCGATTCTCGGTGGGTATCTCGTGGACCTCCCCCGATTTGGACGAAAGGGAACTCTGGCCGTAGCTACGGTAGCAACAGGCGTGTTTCTATATGCCTCCACGACAGCCATGACCAGTAATAGTTTGCTAGGATGGAATTGCGCGTTCAACTTTTGTAGTAATGTCATGTATGCCGTGCTCTATAGTTACACGCCGGAGATTTTCCCGACAAAAGACAGGGGGACGGGAAACGCGTTGACGGCTACTGCGAATCGGATATTTGGGATTATGGCTGTGAGTTCTTTCTTATTCATTTTCTTTCCTCTTCTTTTCTGTCCCGAGCTAGAGATCGATTAGAGATCTGATGCCGTTCCTGGTTACGGATGAATTATTGACGCTTTTGCATAGCCGATCATCGCCATGTTCGCGAACCTGGAAACCAGTGCACCGGTATACACTTCTGGGGCGCTGTTTATCGTAGCTGGACTACTGGTCCTCGCATTGCCTTTCGAGCCGCAGGGAAAATCTAGTTTGTGAAAATTTTCAGGATCTGGTTGGGGTAGTAAAATAAACGAAAAGGAAAGGTAAGTTGAGATTGAAATCTGAGTTTGAAGCTGGGCTTTTGTGGTTGAGCTTCGTAATGAGATATCTGTGAATAAGCAGCATATCAAGGACTGGAACCATGAAATGTTTATTTGCGCATGGGATGAGGATGGCATAGCAGAAGTTCAATGCGCAACGAGCCTTGAGGGGAAAGATGCCGAGTATTTTGCGAGTACAGATACCCATCCTTCCATTGCCCTGCTACTTTTGTCCTTGATTTCAACTGTGAAATATGTGATAAGGCACACTCCTCATATATCCAAAAGAGCCTGGGTATGTTTATCTAATGTATGGCTAGGAGGTAGAGTAGTCATATGAAGCGATTTTCATGACGGTGGACGTAAGAAACCTGGCATTGCTAGCGCTCTGTATACGCTATCAAAAGTCATTATGCTACAAGTCTGGTACAAGTAAGTTGATTGTACCATAAGTCTGGCACAAGTAAATTAACTGTGCCACAAGCCTAGCACAAGTAGTTTAATTGTCCCATTTTCCTTAGGTTAATAAGGAGTTAAGAGTATCAATTATTCTAAACTATTCGTATGATTGATTCAGTTGTGTGAGGTCTTTAGTTTAATATTTTTATAACTCAGGTGTGTTTAGAGTAATGCCCGTATCTCTCAAATGTCAGAGTTCCTTCCCCATCTTCACCGAAGCGTGGGGGTGATTGGCTCACTTCATCTTTTAGCCCCCAATGATCGCCGTATCTCGGTGAGGGTGGGAATGGATTGAACCATTTTGGGTATTCTTGGATTCTTCTGGAAGCATTCTCGGACCCTGTGAGATCTATACCTTATAAACACAGTTTCATATAGCGAAATTTGAGCAGAAACAAGGTGCGTATGGAAAGAATAAAGAAAAGAGGGAGACTGATGATTGTCCCTTGGGATTGGAAACCAATCTTGTGATTGAGAGGAAGTAACATATGGTATCATGAAAAACGTCCACCGTCTCTCAGAAGGTGGAAGGAGGATTTGAAGCAAACGCAAATACTGTTCTTGCCATGGGCACCAACTTCGCGTCCTCCGTCTAAAGCCAATAGGGTATGAGCCACAATTATCACTTATCAAGGATGCGCCGTTCAATGCTTGGCCTTCTCCGCCTCTGCCTTCTTGCTCGCAACCGTTGCATCAACCCTTTGAAAAGCACCCTGTCCCTCTAGAACGACACTTGCTATCCACTTCCACCAAAGCGACGAACCCCTCTCAACACCATATTTGCTCAATTTCTTCCGGTCAAACAAAAACGCCTCCGCTGTATGAGCAACCCAAATAATGCCTCCAACCAACTTCTGCATCGCCATGTACTTCGCCGCGCCACCAGGGAAATGCGATAGAACCTGATCATAAACCAATGTTCCCGGCACAATCACCCTCTGCGCAGCAAAAGACATCATGGCCACAGCGCAAAACGTGGCTATGATACAATGCTGCAGACTTGTAGGAGGCTCATACTCGGTGATTTTGATGCTGCTGATATCGAGGGCTTCGCGGGCCTCGCGGTCCATGTCGACGGTTCGTTCGCGAGCTTCTGCCCAGCTCTTCATTGGGGGGTTGATGGCAATGGTGTAGGATTTCTTCTCGCCGGTCTCGATCGTCATGGCGGCGAAGCTGATGTCGGTTAGTGTTGGAGAGGTTGCTTCGCGCGAGGAGAGCTTCTTGTAGTGTCTGAGGTAGTAGGAGAGGGAGATTTGATGGTCGTTGTTCATGTGGGTGATGATGCGCTGCTTCATGGCGGCATCTTTGGCGGCTGGATCTTGGGATGCCATGGTGATTAAGGGTAGATTTGACGTTCAAATGGTCTTTGCAAGAGGATGAAGAACAATCATTCTCGGTCGAGCCGGTCGAGATGGTTTTGTTGGACTGGGGAAGTTGATGCTTGGCTCCAGCTGGTTGTTGATACTCCGGATCCAAGCTTCATGTGATACTATAAGCTATGCCGAAAGTCGGCGGAAACTCAACAAAGTACGGCGAACTGAAAATATAAATCTCTTCAGCTCTCTCAAGAGGGATCTAGTGAGCTGTGTACTCGTAGTCACAAATATGAACATCCGCAGGAAGTCAGAAAGTGGGAGGGGAGGGGTGGTCCATCTAGAACGGTCGAAAGCGCATGCCACTCAGGTACCGAGTCTGTGTACCACAACCGCCACTACACTCTCCACACATAATCTCAATCTTTTCATGGTAACGCCACCCACGTCAAATCCAAATTTTCTATTAAGACTCTTCTCCTTCAGAGAGAGTTTTTGCATTTTTCCGTTTCCGTTCATCCCTTAATTTTGACAACAACAACCCAGAATGTCCCGCACATTCCCCCTCTCCCCCCTAACCTCACACCCGAAGTCCGCAACTCATTCCCGCTCCACCTCCATCAAATCCATAAAATCCTCAGCCTCTCCCCTCGACCCCTTAGCAGCGACCTTAGCAACCGTACAATCCAAATATACGCTTTCCCATCCGAAGAGTCTAGAAGCTCATAAAGAAGCATGCAATAATCTGCCGGGAGGGAATACGAGGACGGTGCTGCATCAGAGTCCATTTCCTATAACTTTCGGTTTGCCCCACTTTTGTTGAATTCTCTTCATCAAAGTCTACGACCTGTTTTGGAGTGAACGATTCAAGGCTGATTCGGACGATTGGTAGTGAAGGGTCAGGGTTGCGAGTTGACTAGTCTTGATGGTCATGTCTATGTTGATTTTCTAGGCGAGTACTCGGCTGGCATTTATGGCCATTCTAATAAGGAGATTGCTTCTGCCGTTACTGAGGCCATGAAAGATGGTTGGAACTTTGGAGGTCCTAATTCCTACGAGAGGGAATTGGCGAGGAAGGTAAGGTTGCATTTTTCGTTGATGTTTGTTTCTCTTTTCCTTGAGAAGATTTTCTTGTTTTGTACTTTCGTATTTAATCCATAGCAAATAAATACTTGTCAGATCAACAGTTGCTACAATGCTCCTTCGTGCAACTAGGATGTTTTTTTGGTCTTCCTCATACGTCTCCTCAAGATTATCTCAATCAAAGATCTTTCCAATCTCTGATCATGGCTCTTCTTGATTTACCCTGCCTTCTATAAGGAACATAGGGTGCGCCTGTCATTGTGGTTACCGATAACAACTCTACTGGAGAGAGATGACATCGGAGAATCTTGTGTCATCAAGTATCCAAAACTAATCTCCAACAGGTCACAAAACGATTCTCCCCCTCCGGCCTAGAAGTCGTCCGCTTCACCAACTCCGGAACAGAAGCCAACACCATGGCTCTAGCAGCCGCCAAAGTAGCAACAGGCCGTTCCCAAATCCTCGCTTTCAAAAACGGCTACCATGGCGGAACAATCTACTTCCCAACCTCACAACACACCGCAAACGTCAACCTCCCTCACTCATTCGTGCTAGCACCATACAACGACATCCCCGCAACCCGTGAAATCATCGCCCAAATCCCAAAGGGTTCATTAGCAGCCATCATCGTTGAGCCCCTGCAGGGGAGCGGCGGCTCGATCCCAGGAACGAAAGAGTTCTTGCTGTATCTGAACCGGACTGCGCATCAACTCGGGGCGTTGTTTATCGTCGATGAAGTGATGACTTCTCGCCTTTCCTACCATGGACTCTCACACAGTCTCGGTCTCACTCCCGACCTCGTCACGCTGGGGAAGTGGGTCGCGGGCGGAATGACATTCGGGGCTTTCGGGGGACGACGCGAGGGGGGTATCATGTCCTTATTCGATCCCCGGAACAATATCCTAAGTCATTCCGGGACGTTTAACAACAATATCATCACGATGGCCGCAGGATGTGTAGGGATGGACATCTATAACGAGGAACAACTTCAACGACTCAACAAACTCGGGGAAACGCTCAAGTCATCTGTCACGTCAACACTCGAGAAACATGGCATTACAGTGACCGAGGGCGCGAAGCCGAAGATGTATGTGACAGGCCTGGGCTCCATGCTTGGTATCCATTTCTCGGGGGCGCAGGAGAAGATGTTGGGGACGCTTTTCTGGCATCATATGTTGGAGTGTGGGATCTATTTTGCGGCCAGGGGGTATATTGCACTTAATATTGAGTTGGATACGAGACATATTGAGAAGTTCGTGGAGGGAGTGGAGTCTTTTATTGGGAGTTATAAGGGGTGTTTGGTTGTTGAAGGGAAGTAAATAAGAAAGATGCGGTCTGGATTATGTCTTGGGCGATGACTATTCGAGGACTTTCTGATGTTCATGAAATAGCTAGTGAATGGCATATCATCTTCCTGAACTACTACTATTCTAATATCACCACTGCCGATCAAGGTTCTCCCTTTCATCCCCATAACTCGCTTACCACCCAGCTCCCCTTCAAATCTCCACCCACCGGGCATCTGCAACCTCACAGCCTCTAAATATCTACACCTAACATTATTACACAGTACTTGAGCTGCCTCACGTTTCCATACTCCTAGAAAGTCCCAGAATCTTACGAGAAAAAAGAAACAACACTTAAAAAGAAAAGAGGAATAGAAACAAACCGGCCAAATGAAAGCGAATTAAAAAGAAAGTAATAGGCTATCAATAAACTACAATCCACAATCCTTCCCACCACCATAACACCATTCCATCTCAAAACAACAGAACTTACCAGAGTAACTACCACGCTACCCAGGTACCTATTCAAAAATAAAACAATTATACAAAACTCTACACACCTAGCTTAAAAAACCCATCATTCCAAAAGCTCTCGTACAAAACATAGTTCTCTTCACTTCTCGTCGTCTCGAATAATCGAAATCAACATAAACTCCTTATCCCAAGCAATCTAGCACAATAAATTCGTTGTTCTAGGGAATCTCGTATAACAGGTTTTTAGGGTGTGTAAGATTATAGTTTCGCCTCATTAGTTTGCGCGTAATTTCTTATTTCTATTCCTGTTATATTACGACAAGAAGGGTCGAAGGAAAGGTATATACTCCTGGCTATAAGGATTTCTCTTTTTCACGACCTTTAGTAAGAGATGTGGGTATTGTGGCTCGCCGCACTATATAGGTTAGAGTAACCCATGGATGGTATCCTAGAAGCGTAGTATAGCTAAACTGGGTATATAGATATATAGTTCATAATTATTCTTGCTTTTCACTTCGTATGAAGCTAGTCTGCTGGATGGTAGGGTGATTGAGTTACTTATGCTAGACTCTTAGTATAATAATTCTTCATAGTGTATATAGAATAAAAACCAGGTCTTCTAGATATCGCGATTCGCTTCGAAATATCATTAGCATAATAATTTAAAGAATCTCTTCTTATGAATAGGCACGTCTTTAGACGAGTAGGTTGATGCTCGAAAGCTATATCTCTGCAGGACATACGATCGATGAACCACGCCATCCACCAGGCGCTAGCTAGTGGTTATACCTCAAGAATGTCTTATATCCTGTTACGAAATATGGCATAGAGAAAACTTCAATTTGTCAAGTAAAGTGAGATACAGTAAACAATCCCCAATTCCCTTTCCAAAACCCATCAAAAGTCCATCATCACTCATAACCCACACCACCTACCACACCTCACCTCCCCCCCCNCCCAACAAACCATTCACCAGCCCTCAACCCCCTCATCTTACATCCCTCCTTAACACCCACATCCATCCTCCCTACACCCAATTCCCCGCATAAACAACAAACCACCCACAGACCCACTCTCATCCTCACACATCCAAAATCCAAAATCCGTCGCGTAGTCAACAACGTCGCAAACCCACGGACACTACTAGCGCGCCATTTTCCATCATTGTACAGAAAAATACCCGAGGCGCCCTCACAATACACGGAAATACATTCATGCTTGGAACTATGTAGGTGGCCCCAGCTGTCACTCGGGAAGATAATCTTACGGTTGATCATTTTTTGAATGGCATCTCGGAGTTGGGAAGAAAAGGGGGAAATGAAAAGAGAGGACTGTGGTGAAAGGTAGTTGTTTTCGGGAATCTCATCAATGGTCTTATTACCCTTGTCTCTGAGTCTACTCTCCTCTACCTACTGTACTCCACCAAAACCAGCACCGTACCCACTCAAACTTTTCTCTTCGCGGAATTCGAAAAAAACACACCCAGAATCCCAATCAAGCTTTTCCTCTCCATCTATACTTTTGCTCTACCTACTTCATCTCCTACCTCCCCTCTCGCCTATTTCAACCCGCCCCCTTCCTCTCCCTACTCCGCGCAGCAAACAACAACCACCTGCACCTTCCACTAACTATGACCATCCACCCCATCAAGCTGTGCCTCAAACTCATCCTCCCCAACAAACTCCACACTCTGATTACTCCTCACCCGGCTCAACTGCTCACTCACATAATGCGCCGTATGTTCATCCGCCGCCAATCTCTCCTTGCGATGTTCCTCCGTTTCCGTAACCACCGAACGTACATCATCCCCATCAACAGAGGTATCAAAGTCAGACCTCGCACCCATGGAACGTGCTGTGGAGGACCGACGCGGTCTGGGTCTTCCGCCATCTTTGGGATGATTGATATGTCGGGTGAACACATCGTCGAAGTAGTGGTTCATTCCTGTTGATGGGGTACGTGGAGTTTGAGGGAGGCGGCATGAGATGCTGTTATGGTAAGTTTGATTTAGATATAAAGACAAGGGGGAAAGGTAAAAATAGAGTAACTTACCCAGTATCGTGGATCATTCGTGCAATAAGACCAGTCCATCCACATTGATGCGTAGCACCTAACCCTCTCCCAGTATCACCATCAAAGAACTCATGGAACCACATATGATCCCTCCAATGAGGATCGAAATCCAACATATCATTTCCGTCATTAATAGCTCTACGTCCATCATCTCCTCGAGCGAAGAGGTGCTGTAATCGATGTTGAATCTCTTCCGAGACATGTCCAAGATGCATGAAATCTCCTGAGCCGGTAGGACATTCGACTTGCAAAGACGGTCCATAAAACATGTAAAATCGCTGAAGAGACTCCACAAGTAGAAAATTGACGCATAGCCAGATGGGACCTCTCCAGTTGCTGTTACCGCCAAACATGCCGCTGTCCGAATCACCGGGGACATAAGCAACTTTAAATTCTTGTCCGTTCACATCCATCGAGTACGGGTTTTTGTCATGGAATTTTGATAAAGAACGAATACCATGATCGCTGAAGAATTCTTCTTCATCAAGCATGCGTTTCAAAATCTTCTCCAACCGGTCCTTGCTTACAAGCGAAAGCAGGATTCGGTTGTCCTTTCCTCTCTTTCGAATACTGTGCATATTTCTTTCCGCGACATCATGTCGGTTTTCGATAAACCAGTCGACTCGTTTCTTGAATGAAGGTAACTTGTTGATAAGTTCCGGCTCCAACGTGAGTGTAGCATAAAGTGGAATGAGTCCGACCAGGGATCGGACTGGAAGTTGCTGAGTCCATGGTCCACCATAAGAGATGGCATCGTAGTAAAACCCATCTTCTTCATTCCACAGTGACTTCTCCTCTGTAGAGCCAGATTTGTAGGTCATTGCATCACTAATATGCATAAAGTGCTCAAAGAACTTTGATGCGATATCCTCGTAAATCCGACGGTGTTTCGCCAACTCTAATGAGATGTTCAACATGCACAAGCAATAAAACGCCATCCATCCAGTACTGTCAGCTTGTTCGAGAACGCCTCCCGTGGGCAACGCCTCTGATCTATTGAACAATCCAATGTTGTCAAGACCCAAGAAACCACCTTCGAAAACATTCTTTCCATCAACGTCCTTTCGGTTGACCCACCAAGTGAAGTTGAGGAGCAATTTCTGAAAGACCCTTTCCAAGAAATCCAAATCCTGTCGTCCATACAATTTTCTTTCAATTTTAAAAGTTCTGAAAGTGGCCCAAGCATGCACAGGCGGGTTGACATCTCCAAAATTCCATTCGTATGCTGGTAACTGTCCATTTGGATGCATATACCACTCTCTCGTGAACAGATCCAATTGCTTCTTGGCGAAATCTGGATCGATCATAGCCAAAGGTATACAATGAAAAGCAGAATCCCAAGCGGCAAAGAACGGATACTCCCAAGAATCAGGCATAGAAAGAATATCATCCAGATGCATATGCTTCCAATTGCTATTTCTTACAGCCTTTCGTTCTGGTGGTGGGGGAGGTTGCGCTGGATCACCATTCGCCCATTGGTCCCAGATAAAGTGATAATACTGCTTAGTCCACATCATACCAGCAAATGCTTGTCGTTGAATATTTCGCAGGTCTTCAGCCATTGGCAGCGGACTGATTCGATAGAAAAATTCATCTGCTTCCTCTCTTCGCTTGTCGATAATGTCATCAAACAGTTCCTCGTCCATGTATTCTTCATACTTTTTGGATAGTCTAAATCGTACTACAGCACACTCGCCTGGTGCAACACCACCGCCCTCGTTGAATGTATACCACGCCGCAGATTTAGTACCTGTTTTCTTTGGGTTAACTGCCTTCTTCTTGCCTCCCACAATATACTGATGAAAAGCGTCTTTGACGTAAGGCTGTTCGTTCTTCCCGTCATACAAGGTCTCATAGTTCGTGTCGTTCTCGGTGAAAATAAGTTCTGGCTCTACGTCTGTCCCACTTGGTCCAACGCCAGGAGAAGGAGAAAGTTGGAAATAGCGCTCCCCAAGTTTATGGTGTTTACTGTGAGCAACCAAGCTGTTTACTTGATGCAAACTGGGCTTTTTGTCCGGAGATTCGTGACCCCATGCCCAGGTGTTTCTGAACCAAACATGTGGAATGATGTGTATAGGAGCTGGCTTTGGACCTCGGTTCCATGCTGTGACTCGGAATAATAATTCATCCTCTGTCTCTTTTGCCGTCTCGATGACGATGTCCCAGTATTTATCATCGTCAAATGCAGTTGTATCGATTAATTGGTATTCTCGGTCCTCTTTTCCACGTCTCGCATTTTCTTTGATTAGATCTTCGTAAGGGAATTTCGTCTGTGGATATTTGTAGAGCATCTTCATGTATGAATGCTACAAAGCAGGTTAGCACATTCCACGGGCACGGAAACAACCCGAGTGCATACTGTAGGCGTATTGTCCAGGTGAAAATGGGCTTCCTTGATACTCTCTCCATGATTTCCTTGTGGATTTGACAGTCCAAAGAGCCGTTCCTTGAGGAAATCGCTATCAAATATTCAGCAAGTTTTGTTCCTTAGATCTCCCCCGACTCGCACTCACTCCTGCTCATTCCAGAAAGCAAAGGCAATATTCTGGAGGCCATGTGTGTCTGATACACCTGCGATACCATCTTCTCCCCATCTAAAAGCACGGCTTCTCGCATGATCGTGGGTGAAGTCTAGGTACGCATGGATCAGGAATATATCATGGCGGGGTAGCTATCTGGGCTTTTTGGATGGTACTCACGACTCCATGCATCACCATCAGCACTGTAATCTTCTCGGACTGGAGGATGTTCAATTAGCTGAAGAATCTTGGGTAGTGATTGAGGCCAAGCTCACCGGTTGCCCATTGTCGCTCTGCGACGTACGGACCCCATTTCTTCCAATACTTCTCCTTCAGGCGATCCTCGCGAAGACGCTTTTCCTCGTTGCAAAGATACTCATGATCCTCGATTCTGACCATGTTTGCGGTAACGATACTGGATCGATACAATAGCAAAGGTAGTTTGGAGGAGAAGACTGCGTATGTAGGTATGGGTAGGTACCTATGGGTATGATGAGGAAGCTAGGTAGAAGCTAGGTCGACTCGTAGAGTCCAAGATTTGGGGCGGGATGATGGTGGTGGTTGGGAGAGCTGGGGACAGGGGTTGACGTCGCGGGGAAAAGTTAGAGCTTGAGAGCTTGAGAGCTTGACACTGCAAGTCAGTACACACACACACACACACACCGTGGGACACACACCAGTTCTTCTTCTCTGTGCCTGGCCTGGATTCGACGTATAGGTACATACATGGAAGACTGATGCCTGCAATCGCTCAAACAACTGGAATCAACAAATGCCGTCATCTCACAGATTGCCATCCCATCTCATCCCAACCCAACCCATCGCCATTATTGCACCCCCAACACAACTCCACGCAAATGCGATACGACCAGAGATTGCCTATTGCCTGCAGTAGCTCAGCGGAGCCGCTCCTCTACTGCACATAAACTTCTCATGCACCGCACTTCTCTTATCGTTCACCACTTAGTGGAGGCGGTCAAGAGTAAGCGGCAAGTACGACGCATTAAATCCTGTTGACACGATATATTATTTGCGTTTAGATGTCTCTGATGTCATCTTTTTAGAGAGAACAGTAGTGGGATGAACGCCATGTACGATCAGAACTGTACGAGTATGCCGTGGCTGCAGCTCCGTGGCCCTGCTCCGCGGTTGGCCATCTCACTCCGCCAGTCACTACAGTACAATGAAATTGCATGTCAACAGATACCACCAGTCTTTGGAGATATGTCTAAAGATGCAGATATACTTACCTGTTGAGAATCATCTGGATCCTACCAATTCAGGAAAACAGCGGCACGATACTCGAATTTCAATCTATGGCTCTTGTTCTACTCGAGTCGAGGTGCTCAAGAATCATCTCTACCGTGCCGCAGGGCCCACGACGGGACGTTCACGCTCATCATTTTCTTCTCACTCTTCTATATTTTCTAAGTCAACAAGGTAAACCTTGAGTTTGCTTCTTGTTCTTTTGCCGACAACTCTGTTGCCAAAACAAGGCCAGCCCCTTGGATCAGCCTCACGACAACATCCCACTTCCACAAAATAAAAAGATTCGTGCCCAAACTTCTCCAAGAGTTTCCAGAAACTTCGTTGTTGCTAACTCCCTTCTTTTCCCTTCGTTCGCAAGGTTACCATCAGAATCCCAAGTCCCCTCTTCGCCGCGGGCCGATCATCTCTATCTATTTCCGATCGCAGTCACTTGATTGTGGGAGCGAAAATTACCCCACGGGAGTTCATTACGAATTGAGGGGTTACGCACTGATTTTCTGGGGGTGGCTTTTGTTGTGGGTTTGGCGAGTTTCGGCGTCTCCTGTCTGTTCTTCTCAATTCCGCTCTGTGCGATAAGTGGAGATTCTTTCTAAGTGGAGACGTTGATTTGTGGATTCCAAGTGGAGTTGACTGGCGCATTGTGTTTTCTCAAACGGCTGTGCGATTTAGGAAGGAGGGGCATGGTGTGGCGGGGTAGAAGATCTTGGGAAAGTTGTTTTGCAATTGTTCTGCCAATTTTACGAAACTTTATACCAGGTCACATATAGCCGAGCAAAGAGCATTTGGAAACCAGGTTTTACTTTGTCATGGAATAGATTCAATCATCGTCTACCCAGGTATTCTTTGGCTATGCAAGTGCAGTGTATCGGACATTCCACCATTGCACAACCCTTTTCGAATGGCTAGCCCAAACTAGTACAAGGGACCACTCTGTAAGCGAGACCCAAATGTACCCCCGTGTACATTGTCCCACTTTTCTCCTCCATACCATCCTCTTCGGTATGCGTCCCCAGCTCCTCTCATCCAGGTCGTCTTCCCAAAAACAGGAATCCGTGGACGGTAACTTGAAAATCAATGACATATACGAGCAAAGAAAGCCCTGGAGCGGACGACTTCGTATAGCGCGACTGGAAAAAAGAACCAGCTTTTTGGGTCGCGCCGTCTGTATAGAAACAGGTCTTGGTGCCGAAAGGAATGAACGGCCGTTTTTGTGGTTATGAATTATGTTCACGTAGGTAGAACTTTCCCCTTTTTGTTGGTACACTTGATATCTTACTTCGTCACTCAGTTAAGAGGACATCACTGAATCTTCTCATCTTCGGATGACCACACCGTGACGGCGGGAGCTGGCGGGAACGTATTTCTCTTCCTCGTCCGAGGAGCAGCATGAGCTGGAGTCATCGCCGTATCCACATCGCGATCCACCGCAGTCGAGCTTGACGCGGTCACCTGAGCGGGTGATGCCGTATCTCTCGCACGAGCAGCCCAAGGAAGAGGAGCTGTAGTCGCTGAGGGAACTGTTGGAGCTTGGGGAGCTGCTGTCGGATCGGCTGGAGAGACTGGAGCCTACAGACGATGATGGTGAATAGGCAAGCTCATAATCGTTGTAGTCGTTCATGGTGGAGGCGCTGAAGCGAGATGTCAACTCCTCGACGGTTGGTGCGGCGTAGTCGGACTCCAAGATATACTTGGTGGCGTGTGGAGTGATTGGCTTTGGTGACTTGATTTGGGAAACTGAGAGAGGACGTCCTTTTGGGATGTCGACGCTCAAGTTGTCACGGCGGGATTCGCGGCGAGATGAAGACGATGAGTGCTTGTCGCGGGAAGATGAGGAGTGCTTTGATGATGAGTGGGAAGAAGATTTTGATGATGAAGAGTGCTTGGAGGAGGAGCTGCTCTTGGATGAAGACTTGTGGGAAGAAGAAGACTTCTCGCTTGGGACATCGAGAATGTTCAATACGCGGCCAGTGGTTGGCTCGGTGGTGGATGCTTGTGCGGGATCGTGGGAGACGTGGTAACCATCGATGATGTAGTAGTACCAGTATCTTTGTCCAGATTGAAGGGTTTGGCCCTGGAATCTGAATGTGCCCTTCCACGAACCTGATTTGGAGGAAGTCTTATCCTTGGCAAGGGGAAGTTGTCCAGCGTAATTGTCCCATGATCCAAGAAGGTGGACAGTCTTGACACTGGAGGAGGTACGGAGACCAAATGACAATTGAACGGCGGCCATTATGAATGAATTTGCGTTTCTGAATTATATATAGACGGATCGGGAAAGATTGAAATTGGCTTGATGGAGCAAGAAGAGCTAGCTGTTGTTTTTCGGAGGGGGTATAAAATTAAGAGTTGACCGGCAACGTGATTTGAAAATTAGAGTAAAGGAGGGTTGATTATTATGAGACCTGCTCGAGAGGGAGAGTAACAAAAAAGGGAGGAGGGAAAAACAACGGACGAGGGTAGCTCTGGAAGATTGAATGCTTGCTTGGAGAGAGAAAAGAGACATGTTGGGATGGGGATACAGCAGGCTTTATGGGAGGGCCAGAGATGGGAGGCCGGGTCAGCTGTGGCTGGCCAGATGGTGGCTGTTCTGTTCATCCATTGGAAAAGCCACCAGTGCTGTGAGGGGAAGAGTTGAACGGTGAGATGTCAGTGGTGGTGTTGGTGTGGAAGCGAGAGGGGGAGTCAATACTGGGGCCACATGCTCGTACTGATCCATGGCCCATGGTCCTTGACCGATTTTTTGTTGCTGTTCCCCATCGGCTATGGACATTGGTATTGGACGAGGCATTGTCTGGCTGACCTGGAGTGGACTCGACGGTCTTCTCATGGCTCTCACGCTGCCCTCTCACTCGATAGAGGGCATGCGGGCGTATGCAAGCGATGCAAGTCCCGGCGCGTACGCAGGTGAGCAACCGCACTAGACTGCTCTGGGCGACCCGCGACTAAATCCTGGGATGCATCCACCACTCACACCTCCCACCAGCCCTGGGAGGTACAGAGGTACCGAAATACCTCTGGATGATCGCAGCGTGATGCGCATCTCTGCAGCGAGAGTGCGTCCTCAATACATTGGCTCTGCACTGTCACCAACCTCCACCAATGAGGGCGCACCCAGGCCCATGGCGGGCGGGAGAAAACACCGCATAGGGGTCCGGAGCCGATATCGACGACGAACAACCCCATCACGATTCACCCAGACCAAGGAACGCAACGTGGAGACAGGCCAAATTCGCCGAAGAACAAGGCACCGCACCGCATCGCAAGAGGCAGAGGAAGACGGCGAGCCTGTGAGCGCAGAGAATCATCATGCCGCCATCCACAACCACCTGCCACTCACCAGCGTGGAAAAGAAGGTTTGATGGAGCAACGGGACAAGCCGACCGGGAACTGGAGACTCGAATGCGAGGCTATCACCATTGCGAGTACGGCTGACTCTTGATATCCAGATTCAGATCCATATCCGCATTGGAGGTGATCAACTGTGCCTTCAAGCGCTAGCTGTTGGTTCGTGCCGCTTCAAGCGCGATGTTCAAACATTACTTGGTATTATTGTTGTTGCCTTGTAAGTCGACACGGAGCAATTGCGTCTGAAAATACTTCAGATGATTTCAGCCAGGAAACCCCAACGGCAAGGAACTGCGCGACAGAACGAAGAAGGAATGATTTGACCTCTCCCGGAACGACATGAGCCTCATGTATAATTCCCCGTCAATCTTCTTGCAACACAACGTCATAAACGACCAACTTTATTTTTGGTACTTTGAAATGTTTTGATTCCATGGAAAAAGACAAAACACAAAACACCGATGAAAGCTAAAGTTGTTTGTGTCTCGCAATGGTTCACCCCGCCATACTCGAGTACAGGTATATCCACCATAGAGACCTGTCATCGGAACAATGCCTGTCCAATGCCCAGCAAGGTTGTACGATTACGCCCTCCAGCTGCCCCTCTTCTGCGAGGCAAAGCCGCAAAGCGAGGCAGAAGAGAAGGCTGCCTGCTGTATTTGGTCAATTCTGCATCACCCTCACCAACGCCCCACGTTTGTACTCCTCTCTGAGTCTCTGATTCCTAGTGATGAGTTGCGGCTGGTCATCGTATCCAGTACTGCGTTAAGAGCTTTCGGAGAGAAGACGAGTTGGTAGTCGGTTGGTTGCCAATCGCAACTCAGCGTTCGATTTAACTCGTCAGATTCCTTATAGTGCTGATGTAGTGGAGCACACCGAACATGCACTCACAGGGGCAGCAAGCAGCGAAAGATGAAATGTGATACGGTGCATACATATCTGCCAAGAGATATCACCTAATTCAACCATACACATTAGCTCGGGCGGGTAGAAGGGTGTCGAGGGGGTACCACCGGCACTATTCTTGTATTCCTGAGAGAGCTGTACGAAAGTTCGGAGTAAGTACAGATGCAAGCAGTGGTCTGGTGATACTATTCGCTGCAGATTCGAGGACTTTGGGTGAAGAATGACGGAATCCCACATCTCACCCTATTCGGAAGCTGTTCATATTTATTCTCTCTGGTGTTTTTCGGTGTAGAGAGTCAAAAATTCCCCGTTTCTTTTTTTCCAAAGACATGTATGTATTGCGCTCTTGCCGCCCAAGTGGGTTTGAACATTTTCTCTTTGATTCTGCTTCGCTTCTAAAAAGTCATATTATTACTAATCTAAATCCATTATTCCCTAGGGTCGGAAAGTCAGTTTTGGTGTGGTTGACTTTGGGTGTCTTCAATTATACCGCCAAAACCTTTCTTGGCTTGAAGAAGTTTCTTGTGACAGGCCACGGGCACCTCAGGACAATCAGGTGATCTCTGCTCAAAAGGGCGTGATGCTTTGTTTTGTTTTGTTTCGTTTCTAGAATTTATTTCAAACAAGTACACCACGTCATTATTATGCTGGTGTTGGGTATCGCGGAAGTCTTCTCTTGATGTGAGATATTTTTCAACTCCGAAGCCGATTACACATTTCCTTTGATTCGGCCCGTTCAGCCTGATATCAAGTTTTTGGGAGTACGAATACCGAATGAAGTGCCTTTCCATTCAAAATATCACACCGAGTATACCAGTGTTGCTTGGTATTATTGTTGCATTGTGCTGAACGAGTACTGAATCTTGACCGTTATTACTCAATCAGTCACTGCTGCGTGCAGTATACATACCGAGTGGGTTGGTGCGCGCGGATCGCTTCTTCGCTGAACCTTCTCCATGTTTCCCCACGATCGTTCCAGCTCGTTCCCCAGATTCCAGATTCCTGTATATATGCAGGTTTTCCAAGTCGGTGTAGGGCCGAGTTAACCACGAATAAGCCATGGTACTTGAATTGTGGACAATGCAACTTAAATATGCCTCACCAAATGTATCACTTACCTTTATCCACGTATGATTATTACGTCCTTCCAGGCCGGATGAAGACAACCACTACTCATATACGTACCTGCCATGATTCGACATCGATTCCTTTGCTGACCATCAAACTGGCATAAAAGTGTTTTTATAATACGGTTCAATAGGGCCACCATTCCGATTCACAACAACGGCAGCACTCTGATGTCGTTCTTGGCATTCCATATTCGATTCTATCGACATGAAACTCCTCATTTGTTCAATTGAGTTCGTTGTCCACTTTGACGGCCCGCCCGACGGTCAAATTGGAAACTTGATGTCACTTTCCTGATTTGTGCGTCTGATTCGGTATTGAAATATATTTAGGCCAGCTCAAACTATTCAATCCGAGACAAAACTTGGGGTGGTCTATTTATTCTCTTGAATCTTGAAAAACATATAGTCTCGTTTCCAAAACCATGAATGATTCCACAAGCACGAGCCCGTGCGCTAAAAGTGGGTGCTATTCACGAGGGTTGACATGGCGATTGGGCAAATGGTGAGGGTTTAGGCTGCTTTCTTGGCTCTATTTTGGAAAGAGCCCAAACCGTCGAGGTCTTATTTGCATGTGAGACGAGCGTGGGCGGTGGGATTTAGCAAAGGTGTAGGGGTGATGGCGGGGCATTTGGGGGCTGGTGCCCTTGATTCATGCGAGAGAAACAACGTACGACGGGAACCGAGGGGTAGGAGGGGCATTTTGCTTCCATCGATGGGCTAGATAAGCGATATCAGTCGTTCAAGGACAAGGATGAGTCAAGGACCCTGACTCCACGCACACCAACACACCAATGACAACCGCGATGGGAGGTTTATTCTCGCACCGAAAGGGCTCGCTCGTTGGCGATGCGGCGAACTACGAGAACATTCCGGGTGTGTGTACAGTCAGATCCTGTACAAGGTCGGATTGGGCAATTTGGGCCCTCAGGGATCCGCCTTTTCCCTATGTTAAGTTGCCAATTGTTGCTGAACTCCCTGCTCCACCCCTCACTAACCAAGGCTAAGGCTGCGCAGGGGATTTTTTGGCGGCGGCTCACCCTCGGCCTCTCTGTGCTACCGCGTCATGACATCAAACCATCCAATCTTTGGAAAATGCAGATAGCAACTCCTGTTGGCTTTGTCGGTGTCGGCCTCTATCAGCGAGACGGGAACGAAGTCGAGATGAACACCCTGCGGTCGCTGCGCACCAAAATTCCCCATTTGGAAATGATGGGACATTGAAAATTGGAGGTGCATACCACCGTATGCGTGAAATCGCTGACAGTAGGGTTAAAGTTACTCGGGAACGGTTTTGAAAGACCCGCAATAATGCCAGTTGACGTCGTTTAGGGGACAACCCTCAATAATTACTCGGCGACAGTGGGATGAACAGGGCAGGTCAGGGCACGTCTCCAGCATGATGTCAATCGCCCATAGAACAACAGTCGTGGAGCGTTCTACGGTCATGGAACAATCTTTGGGGCCCAGTCTAATTCATCATCATGATTGTTACCGTCTTTCTTGGTTCAGGTGGTTAGCTTATATACAGCTCAGCTACGTCCACCGAGTCAAAAGTCTTCCAAGACAGATAAGCATACCGAGTACCTTCCTCGACTCCCATTTTGCATATAGCTTGCTTTACCAGAAACATTTCTTGCCCATAATTACCGCAACAAACGATTCAACCGCAGTCAAGTTTGACGTTCCCACACTACCCCAGTCCTGTCAACTTACAACTCCGCCTCCTCTCCACGAATATCTAGTAGCCGGGTCTTAACCCCTCACCCCAGTTCTCGACGCCCCGTTTCAGACGAAGATATCTCTTTGACCCACCTCTACCTAAATCCCTCCGCAGCACTCCAGGTTCCTCCGCAATTCGTAGCCGAGACGGAAATTACTCAGTATATATATCTCACCATGGCGCCTCAATCCAAAAACTTGGCTTCACCAAAAAGACCAAACTTCAGACGATTATCCAGTATGACTACCACCGCACAAGAAATCCGGGAGGCAGAAGGGCCAGTTGTTGTTATTCCAGAACGACTCATGGTCCAGCGAGCCCAATCACATCATGGCGGATTCGCAGCTTCCATGGAAAACGCAAGACTAGAACTAGACTCCATGAACTTGGAGGAAGAAGGCTCGCTTGTCTCTTCGTCTTCGGATTCGACAAGTACACCGGGTACACCCAGCTCACCTCTCACCCCGGCGGAAATTCCTACCGTCGATAGCTTCGCTTTTGCTTTCGATATCGATGGAGTTCTGATCAGAGGAGGAAGACCAATCCCAGAAGCCATTGAAGCTATGAAAGTGCTAAATGGCGAGAACGAGTACGGAATGAAGATGTGAGTAAATTTCGGTTGTGTCGCTGGTGTCCCGCTAACATATCACAGTCCATACATCTTCCTTACCAACGGTGGTGGAAAGACTGAAGAAGAGCGTTGTATTGACTTATCACGTCAGCTAGACATCGAAGTCTCACCCGCTCAGTTCATCTGTGGGCATACCCCAATGAGAGAGATGGTCGAGCAGCACGGAACAGTCCTTGTCGTTGGCGGTGAAGGAGAAAAATGTCGGCAAGTCGCTGAAGGATATGGATTCCGCGATGTCATCACACCTGGTGATATCATCAAAGATAACGCCGCTACAACACCGTTTAGAACCCTGACCGAGGAAGAGAGACGCAACTCAAAGAAACGGGACTTCTCGAAAACCAAGATTGAGGCCATTTTCGTCTTTGCTGATAGTCGAGACTGGGCTGGTGATATCCAAATTATCCTCGATCTTGCCATGTCAAAGGGTGGTTACATCGGAACCCTCTCCGAGACATTCGATGAAGGACCACCAATCTACTTTTCTCACAGTGACATCGTTTGGTCAGCGGCACATGACAATGTCCGTCTCGGAATGGGTGCTTTGAGGAGAATGATTGAAATGCTCTTCAAGGACCTCACCAAAGGCAAGGAGCTCGAGACTATCGCTTTCGGCAAGCCCCAAATCGGAACATTCCAATTCGCAACCCGATTATTACAGCAATGGAGAAAAGACGAACACCACTGCAACAAGCCCCCAGAGACGGTCTACTTCGTTGGCGACACCCCAGAGAGTGATATCAGAGGAACCAACCAGTTCAATGAGAAATCAAAGAACGATTGGTACTCTATCCTCGTCGAGACTGGTGTCTACCAGCCAGGTACAGTGCCAACCTACAAGCCAAGAGTTACTGTTCCAAATGTTCTCGAAGCAGTCAAGCATGGTATGCACCGTGAATTCGCCAAGAGGATGAAGACTGTCAGCAATGGTGGTCTCCCAATCAATACTTTGGGCATGCGAAATTTCTCTCTGAATGGGGAGCGGAAGATGAAAAGTCCAATCCTCGATATTGGCGAAGAGACAGCACATGCTACTCTTGATGCAACAGTCATCATGTCATGATATCGAAGCAGTGAAGAGATGGAGCATTAAATTGGGGAAATCATGAGACACAGGGTGTCTTTCGCGATGGGATCTGAAGCATATTTTTGATATTTTGGGCTCTGGCGTTTTCATTGGATACCTATGATACCCTGGAATTCGTTCACGATTATTGAACGATCTAGGTTCTAGGTGTGGTCCGATATTTGATCTGTCTTTCTTTCTACAGCTTGTTGGTTTCTTTTTCTTTTGTTCTGTAGAAAGTGGACAGGCTCTTTACTATAGTTGATCAGCATATATATGACTTGGATACATTTATGTATCTCTTGTCATCTTTTGGAGTTTGTTTGTTTGTGGTTTTTGGTCTACTTTTTTCACTTCCTGTCATATATTGCATTGCATAGACGGTTTGGTTTGAGAAAAATAGATTGCAGGCAGTTCCTTGTAGAGGAGATGAGATATGACATACGCCCATAGATGTTTAGATAGTTCAAGAGAATAGACATCTTTCTTTTATGGCAATCAAATTCCATGGCGACTGTGTGATGTAGTGGCTCCTCGGATACGGAGTCAACGTCCGTCTATGCCGTACCTGAAGAAATTGGCTGCTTATTGTTTACTTTCAACGGTGTGGCTTACTCTACTTGATGACGCGGGAGCTGATACACGGCGTTATCTGACATAGTTCAGCTTATCATTTATCACATCGCCACTCAATGCAGTAATCACACTACTTACTATGGTTCGTCCGATTGGTTTGGCCCTAGGATTTAGTGCTCGCTTAAACAGGGACAATTTATTTGCATACAAAGCGATTGGGATTACCTCTTCGGCAGGGGTTTGATTGTATATCACGTCAAATCTTTTGTCTTTGGGTTTTTTTGTGTTTGGTTCAAATTGTATTGCATCATTGCTGAAAGTAGTAAATTACGTTTCATGTATTAAATTTTATCTGATCTGATCTGGTCTGATCTCGTCTGATCTTTGTATTTTGGGATCGGGTAGAGTGGTGAGGAGGGATTCTCCCTTCCCTTTAATCCCAGTGAGTGAAGTGGGTTGTCGTGAGGATCCCTGCTTGTCGGCGATATGATGCGGCGATAATTACAGGTAATGAGGGGTCGTTCAGGGGGGGACCTGACGTGGACAGCGGACAGCTCAAGAGCTCTCAGAAGCTTAGATCACAACCACAACCAGAACTAGTGAGCCAGTTGTACTCGGACAATTGTACTGACGACTGTTTATTGACAATCGTTCTCGTGACATTCGCTTGCGTCAACAACATCTCTACTTTCACAGCGTTCCTTCTTCCCTCGACGTTCTTCAATATCTCACGATACCTTCATTTTCACCAGCATCCGCAACCATGGCAGAATCACCCGCCTACCCCATCATCGATTCCCACATCCACCTCTACCCAGCCTCGGAAACCGAGACGCTCGCATGGTGTACCCCCGAGAACCCACTGAACAAGCAACACTCCATAGCAGAGTACGCCGAAGCAACAGGTCGACCCTCCGACCTCGAAGGCTTCATCTTCCTCGAGACCGATCGAAAGAATGACCTCGAGAGCGGCATGACAGATGGCAGCGGCTGGGAAATGCCACTCATGGAAGTTGATTGGTTGAAGAGGATAGCACTTGGTACACCCAAAGAAGGCGAGGGTCACACCGAGGAGGACAAGAAGCTATGTCTTGCTATTATCCCCTGGGCTCCATTACCCAGTGGGGAGGACGGTATGGTGAAATATGTAAAGGAGGTGGCTCAACGAGCTGGGGACGCCTCCAAGAAGGTTAAGGGCTTCAGGTATTTGTTGCAGGATAAACCTAAAGGTACTATGTTGCAGGACAAGTTTATTGAGTCCCTGAAGTGGATGGGGAGAAAGGGGTTTGTGTTTGATTTAGGTGTGGATCAACATTCTGGGGGGAAGTGGCAGTTGGAAGAGGCGATTGAGATGGTTAACAAGGCTCATGAGGGTGTGGATGCGAGTGACAGGGTCACTTTTATCATCAGTCGGTTGCCCTCTCCCATGACAGCTGCCGCGAAAGCTAATGTTGTCTTCAGATCACCTTTGCAAGCCTGACTTATCAATTTACACCCAGACAGATCCTGAGTTCGTAGCATGGAGGGAGGCTATGTTCCGCCTCGGGAAATGTGACAAGACCTATATGAAGCTTTCTGGTTGTTTCTCTGAACTACCAGAATCGTTCAAGAATGCACCCGTACTTGATGTGTTCATGGCGCTGCAACCCTACCTTATTGTAATTCTTGCTACGTTCGGATCTTTCAGAGTCATGTTTGGATCTGATTGGCCGGTATGTACAGTTGGAGTTAATGATGCCTGGAAGAGATGGAAGGAGGTTGTTGAGAAATTCTGTTATTTAGCGAGTTTGAGCCAGGAGGATCAGATCATGATCTGGAGTGGAACGGCTATCAAGGCGTATGGGCTTGAGGAGTTGATGTGAAAAGGCAATCTGAGTTGTGAAAGGAGGAAATTTTGAGAGGAAATTTTGAGAGGAAAATGGTGTCATGATGATACCCTCAAACGATAAAACCACGTCGATGCGACTTTAAGCGAAGTGTTATATATCACTTTGGGAGTATACAGAATTGGAACTACTTTGGGTGAGGAAGGGTGGGAGAATATGGGTCCGGGACTTTGATTGGTGAAGGAAATACTTATGCAAGTCATTGATGATTCTCACTCAGAACCTTGTTACTAGACTGGTTAGGCTGATATTGCTATGCATGTAGAGTTACACGTGGAGTCACGGTATATTTGCTTGCCCGATTATATCTTCTTTTCCTTTATCAACTGATCACTTACGACATTTCTGAGAAACACCAACGGGTCTTTTGTTGGAGAGCCACGCCAGTCGAAATTACCCCACATTTACCCCTCCTTCCACTTTCGCTGGACTTTCCCCCGAATTGGAAAGAACGTTATCCACTCTACATCTCACATCCCCGGGTTCTCATCCCCGGCTCCTCTTCTCAGTGGATTTCGAGTTTGGTTCGGTATAACTCTTCCACTTACGTACTGGCCAGCCACGTTTGCATTCATTGTATAACACTGAATTGCCACAATTCACTGGAAAGGAGGTGAATTGTACTTGGGATATCGTTGTATAAGTACCGATGACCCCACCTTTGTCTCTTACATATACTTCGAGAGCTTCCCGACTTAAGAATCCATCGTCAATTCTCTGCTATTCATTTCGTTGTTGAGAATCAAGCTTGACTGACAATACTGGTATTTCACAAAATGGCCTCTCCACCACCAGCAGGTGTCTACGTCCCAGTCCCAACCTTCTTCATCTCTAAATCAGCCTCGAACTATAACGCAACAGCTGCTCCCCTCGACCTCGCAACTCAATCCGCACACTCCCTCCACCTCGCCAAATCCGGAATCACGGGTCTCGTCGTTCTCGGTAGTACGGGAGAAGCAGTTCATCTCACCAACAAAGAAAGATTCGAAGTTCTCTCCTCAATACGAAAGACCTATGACGAGAATGGATTCCCGGATTACCCAATAATTGCAGGCACGGCAGCGCAGAATATCGAAGAGGTAGTTGATCAGTTGAAGAGTGCGAAGGAGGCGGGAAGTCAATGGGGATTATGTCTTGTTCCGGGATATTTTTCGGGTGCTAGTACGCAGGAGGGAATTATTCAGTGGTTTGGAGCGGTTGCTGATCAGAGTCCTATTCCGGTTATGGTGTATGTATCCCACTTCTCTTACCTGTAAATCGCATTTGATGTTTACACATTTGAAGTAGGTGAGCTAATGAACTTTTGAGCAGATACCATTACCCAGGCGTCTCCAACAACGTCAAAGTCCTCCCTTCAACCTACGCAACCCTCTCCCAACATCCTAACATTGTAGGCTGCAAACTCTCGCACGGCGACGTCTCCTACCATGCCCAAATTGCCTGCTCCCCTAAAATCGATCACACAAAGTTTCATTCCTTCACTGGTCTAGGCCAGCAACTCCTTCCGGTCATCGCCCTCGGTTGCGCAGGCACCATCGACGGCTCCGCAGGTTTCTTCCCGAAATCCGTGGTTCACTTGTACAAATTGAGTGTCAAAGACACACCCACACCCGAAGAGGTCCAAGAGCGCAGATTGCTGCAGTATAAAGTTAGTTCGGTGGAGGAGATCGTTGTTAAGTTTGGCACCGTGGGGATTAAGGAGGCGATTAGTAGACTTCTTGGAATGGGTGATAGGGAGGGGACGAGGGTTCCACTTGTGGGGGGGATTCCGGGAGGTGATCAGGAGTGGGAGAACTGGAAGGAGGTTATTGGTGATTTGGAGGCGGTGGAGAAGAGTTTGTGAGGTTGGGTGGGTAAGATGATAGTGTGTTAGTAGACTTAGATCACAATGTAATTTTTATTTTTCAAAGGCATTTGGTTATTAATATGTTTGTTGCTGGTTGAATCTTGGATTGTGGGTAGTTTTGGTATGTTTACCTGCGTATTAGTCAATCTTCCTTTCATGGACGAGAAAAGTGGCTATAAGTCGTACTCTTCGTATTTCAAGTCGCCTGTTTTGGCTTTCTTAGAACATTTAAACATTCCTTCTTATCAATACGGGCTAGTAGATTCTAGAACGTCCAAAATCCATTCCATTAAAGACTTTGTGTGGGAAAGAATACTGAATAACATACCTTGATCTTCTATTCCATTACACTTAAGCACGATGAAACAAGCAAGGTGGGAGGATTACATCTTCCAATACTATGTACGGCATGTCTCTATATCCTCCTCCACGCTTAAAAGTCTCGTCACTTAAATAGTAAACTTGTGAGAATGCGAAAGAGAGGATGGATTTGGTGACTTGAGATTGGAGACTTGACTATGGTTTTGAGGGATGATTTGCGTGTGTGTGAGATTGCTTGTTGGAACTTGGATACCATGGGTTCTTAGTGGTTGGGTGGAGGGCTTTTGATGAGCTTGTGTTGGGGGTTTCTGAAATTCTGTTGGATGAGTGGATGTTGAGGGTGAGGGTTGTGTTGTGGGCTCCGGCATTGCTGGTAAGAGGGGTGTATTATTTTGGGACGTGGTAGAGGGGTTTTCTTAGAGTATGTTTGGCTTACGAGATGAATACTTTTATACCATACAAATAACTTTTATATGTAATTCTTTTGTATAAAGATTTGCGACTTTCGCGACTTTTACAAGGGTGGCTGGCCAGGAAATATTATTTTCGAATAAAATCGTCACAAATCCGGTATAAATCTAGTTATAGAAGTTTTTAGATTTATACTACTAAAAGAAGAATATAAAATAACTGAGGCCTTAACCCTTTAGATCTTTTTAATTCCTGTAAATCTCTATATAAATCTTTACATCCTTACCCCCTATAGTATCCCCTCCTACCTACAGGATTCTCTCCTATAGTATCCCCTGACTCAGCTAATTTATAGGTATAATACAAAGGTATAGTGGGTAGCGGGGACGGGGTAGGTAGTACTAGAGAGGTACTATAGGAGGGACTCTACTTAAGTATAAGGGGGAACTATTGAGGGGGCAGGTTAGGGTAGGAGGGCTATAGGAGAATATAAAAGGTCTAATTTACTATAGTAGAATAGTTAGATATATAATAAAATAGAAAAGACTTTTGTAGCGAGCTAAACAGTAGTATATATATTTCGTCAGAATAGTACAAATTGTATACAAATCAAGAAGCTTTTGTATAAGCCCTTAGGTCCTAGGACTACTATAAAAGTTTATGATTTGTACTAATATTTGTACTATTCTAACTCGCGAGCTAAACATGCTCTTATCTATGTCCCGGTTGACATAAGGCGTTGAAGATTTTGTGGAGTTGAGAAATAAGTCAGCTTATAAGTTGTAACTTTTTAGAGATCTGTTTGTTATTACTGTGTACACACCAATAAGGGTCCCGTATTCAAACAGTCTGGTATAAGTATTTTAATTGTCCTAGTGTAGTTGGGTAAGGGAATGTTGTGCATAGGTTTTGATGGTTCGAACCTATTCGTATAAGCTATCCGGCTGTGCGAGAACACTTTTAGTGTAAGGTTGTCTTAAGTAAAGGCTACTTGTCTTACCTAGATGTAACTGTCTAGTAGAAGTATTCGATGTAGTCCCGTGCGAATATTAGAAATAGTGTGATATGCACTCTTTCTTCCCGAAAGGGACTACACTAATTCATACGCGCAAATTAGGCGAATAATATCTTGGCTATTTGAGATGTGTGAGGAATGGGTTTTCATTCAAGTATTAGCTCCTTCTCATTGCCTACTTCGACAGATTAAGATATGAAGGCGAAAGGCACTCCGTAACATAACATTCTCAGACACAGATGAATCAAGTCCTCTCTCTTTGATTCGCTTATCGCGTCTACTCGTGTTGAAATTTGGAGTATCAACAGATCTCTAGGAGACTTTCGGTATTTTGCGAAACGAAAAGATTGTTATCCTACCATTTTCCAACTAAACAAAGGATGGTAAAAGGACCATGGTCGAAGTCAGGGTGGACCGCCGTCTTTCAGGTCTTGCTCTGAAACTACTTGGAAATATCTAGATAAAATACTAAAAGTACTACTATGTAATAGCCTGGGTTTTCAAAACCTGACAGATCTCTTACTACAACAGTGCCCGATATTCTCAGCATCTTCCGCACTTACAAAGCCTTTGAAAATGCAGTACCTTCAGCAGAAACGTTCACTAGCCCCCAGAATGCGCTCTCTACGTTACAACACTCGCATATTCGTACTGGGCTACTTGTAATTCCAGGACCTATGGCTGGTACATACACTGTATTTAAGCAGTATAGCTAAATAGATAGTTAGTTGAGCCTTCCTTCTAACAGAGTATTAGATACGGATGTATCTATCCTATTCTTGTCTCAGGGGCGACTCTTTTGTACCAAAGATATCCCCTCAACACTTTATATGTACATCTGGCGTTTTAGGTTTGCAATTTCCTAATTGAGCGATAATTTCCGAAAACAAGCCTTTATTTAAGTATAACAGTATCAAAAAGTCAAATTGAGGCTATTCCGAGAGACGTATAAAATCAACAAAGTACTAACTAATCCGTGTCCCGCTATCGCTCGAGTCCATTTGACTGATCTTTTGAATACAGAATCTCAGGATTATCTGGACGACTTTATACACTTTTTCGAATGTTTTGGGGTGGATATTCCGGCAGGAAAGTACGATTATTTCACCCTTTTCGAACTCGGTATATACGAATAACCATCAAATTTACATAGTTGAACATGATTTAGTTAAAAAAGTTATTTTCAACCTTAACTCGACTAATAAAAGTGCGACTTTTCGACTATTCTAGGTGGCTAATTTGGGGGTTATTTTAGGGGTTATTTTTGGTGTGGAATTTACGATTATTTCACTGTTTTTGGGTATAAAATATTCGGATAAATTATCTAATTTACGTCATATATCGACTTTAAATATAATTCAGTTTCAATAGTTATTTTCAACCTCAATTCGAGTTTATATCGAACAATAGGAGCCATGCCATACGTATACAATTATGCGGGTCTTTATATAGATGTTGAAACAACCGCAAGAGCCAAGTCTAAATTTGGGTACCGCAAACCTAAAACGTCAGATGTATACAAAGGGGGTGGACAGTCAATGCTGGACACTGTTACGTAGATCATATGTGAAAAAAATCTATATTAACCAGATATAAGTCTTTGATTCGCTGGTTTAGCTACAAAGCGGGGCCGAGATATACTATGATCAGCGACATCGTCTAGCTTTAACTGTCCACCCCCTTTATAAAGTGTTGAGGGGATATCTAAATAACGGTAATTGGCCGAGATACCCCCGTATTAATTATAAAGGCTTGAGATACCCCTCAAATTAGCGAAAATCAAGGACCTTATTCAATTACCGCTATCGTAAAACTGTTTTCATCGCGGCATAGTAGGACCTGTGTTTGCAGTACTACCAGAGCCTGAGCGATATGGAGTCGAATTTTTAAGTTATTAGCTTTGTTTTAGGCGAGAGGGGAGGAGTCTGAATCAACGCCTTCCTGTGAATCCAAATAATGTTCAAAAACTTTACCAAGGTCTATGAAACCATCCATGCTTTCCTCTTTTCGTTCTTCTGTGATTTGCAAACTGTTCCTTATCTACTTTGTGTTGAAATGTTGGCTGCTACCTACTCAATTCTCTCTCATCGCTTCCATGTCCACTTTAAAATGAACGAATTGTTTCTCAACTCTACCCAATGAGCTTAGTAAACAAAGATTGTTATTCATAGCTATTGCTGTTATATAGGTGCATCCGTATCTCCGTCACATCCTTAATTCCACCATTTCCAAATTTTGCAGTACTTTCTGCCACAATTGTTTCCAATTTCTCTTGTTATTCGATAAGGCATGATATTTAGAAATGATTGATTCCATGATTCTCAGAATCCGCCCACTTTCTGAAGAAGAAAAGGCTTGAAAGCTGACTAAGTTCTAAATTCTATATTCTAATATCTTATTAGCAACATGGGACAGGATCTATTAACAGGTTCTTGCAAAGTTATCGACTCAACCATCAAAGCTTCCCTTTGTCGAGTTCGAGATTTTCCTTTCGTGCCGCCGCCTTGTTGGCCCTCCAGTCAGGGCCGAAACACCACACAACGACAGGCAGGGGACTTAGTGAGATCACAACAAATGCCAACCCCAGAAACGTCAAAGCCGGACCCATATTTTCAATCATTGTGTCGATGACTGCCACCCCGATAGCACCAAGTGCGCAGCGAACTAAATTATTGATGGCCGTTGCACTAGCACCTTTTCCGGGGCACAGGTCGGACCCTAGAGTTTGGTTGAGGCAAAAGACGGCGTTACTCGTTGCTGCGATCAGGAATTGAAGGAACAGAGGCACTGCTATCCAGCCTCGCATTGAGATAGCAGTAGGAAACGCTAACGAGAATCCATACGCCCCTGTCGAGATGGTGAACAGCATCGAGATCCACGGGAGATGACGAAATCGTGCATGCTCTGTTGGGAAGTCTGTAGGAATATTATTGGGCGGAATTTTATAATCGGGTGGGAAGCCATGCAAAGTCTTATAGGACCTCTCCGCCTCTCGATAATCTTCCGTCATCAGTTTCCCAGCAATTGCCGAACCAAACATCGTCCCAATCCCTTCTCAGTCGTTAGTCAAAGTCGAAGAAACGTGTGGGTGGAGCTTATACCATTAGGCAAAAATGCCACTCCCAGCAAGAGCTCCGTCAACCCAAAGTTCTGTTTGAAGAGCGCGGTCGTACTCTCCGTGACCATACTCCATACGGCATAAATAGCCCCACCAAAAATTAGATTGCACAAAACATCTTTCTCCTTGAGAAGCTTGAGTGGTTCTATGAATGTCAGAAACGTCACCTTGTTTCTAATTATGGTATCATCAGGTTCTGTTATGTAAGAAGGTTCCTTTCGAAATTTTCGAATTAGTGGCAAATATATGCCATCGAGGCGAATCGTTCCGTTGCCTGCAATAGAACGCATGGTCTCTGGCAAGAATATGATAATGACCAAGATGACGATTGTCGACATAATTAAGAGGAAGACGAAAGCAGACCTAAATCCAAAAGATTGGGACAAGACGCCTCCTAATATGGGTCCTATTGCTATGCTAATGTTTCGAACTATAAGTAACAGTAAGGTCAGAAGTTTGATTCCAGTGAGGAAAGGTTCAATAAAGTCCTTGTACTCACTGGCTTGGTAGAAGCTGATGAAGGCGCCACGTTCAGAAGGTGGTGATATATCTTGGATAACTCCGTTGCCTATCGGAGAGAGCAACTTAGCGGCTTTACATATGCCATATGATAGAGATCTCCTACCAATACTAACTGTACTTGCACTTCCGGCAGCCTGTAATCCTCGAAAGATGACGAGTACCGCAAAATTGGGCGTGAAGCTCAATACGACGTTTGATAAAATGGAAATAATGAAGGACGCGATGTAAATTGGTCGACGCCCGACGGTATCTGAAAAAGCACCCCAAATAACCGGTGATATTCCTTGAATGATCAAATACGATGTAATTGTCAGCGATACAGCCGCAAGAGTAACCCCAAGGTCCTGAACGAGGTTAATGAAAGACTTGATTTCAAGTTAACTGGGGCACAAACTTTGGCGACCGCATCAAGCAAGGGGAAATAAATGTTACTAGATCCCTCGTTGGCATAGGCTCAGCACGTATCACCCACTTCCTCAGAACCATCTCTAGACGTGGAACCTACCTGGAAAGTCCGGAGAAAAGGCCAGCGACGCTTATCGTTATAATTACCAACCATTTTTCTTTCCTCGTAGCAATATGATATTGTTCCTCCTCGAAATTTGGCTGCTTCCGCGGATTGTTTTCTTCAAGATTTCTTATCGTGTGACGGTCATCAAATGGATCCTCGATGTAGGAAAATATTTCTGTGGAACTTCGCTGTTCTACGCTTCTAAATGAAGGTGGCGGGTCACGAAAGGACTGAACTTTTGATCGTCTAGTCTCGGTAACAAGATCTTCATAATACTTGTCTTGGTCAAATTCGGGGTTCCCAACGATAAGTTGACGTCCAAAGCTCGCAATTGGACTTCCAAGAACTCTTACAGCCCCTAGATTATCCAAAAAAGTGGTATGGCGACGTCCTGGGGGTCTTTGGGGATCCATGGCCGTCTCTTTTGACAAAACTCCTGTGGTGTTTTTTTGGTCAAAAGGCGGACAGATGCCGCCTCCATATTGCAAAAGACTTACCCCAAAATTAAGACATTACGTAAACAGGGATAGACTGAGTAATACTTATATTCCGAGGTTCAAAAGCTGAGTTACAAAGCTTTGTTCAAGGCGAAACAATGAGGCGTCCCATGACCCACGGATCGTTTTGGCTGCGTACTCGTAATCTTACGCAGAAAGGTGAGTGTGCTTGGCCAATGTAAGAGACATGGTCGTTACTCTGTACACACCTCTCTTAGAATAAAATAATTCCAAACGCGTCGCACAATTAAAATATTTATCAACGGCTTAGAATGATTTTTAACTCTTATTCTTCATTGGCCTAGGTATCCTGAGACAATTATTTTGCTTGCATTGCTGGGTACTCAAATACCCGCCCGATACGGTTTTAGTCAGTTATCAGCGCGATCTCTCTCTCCACAAGGTTGCTCTATTCTCTTGTATTTGGTCGGAAGTTCTTGTTGGCACGCCGTTTAAGACGCATACCAAACCTCGCTTGAAGGGATGAATACCGAGTACTCCCAAGGTTTTAAGGAGGTCTCCAGTCACGTGGATCTGAAGTCTTGGTTCCGATTGTCTGGAGAAGGCTTTTTTAGTCTGAGGTCGAAGTAAAGATCTAATTCAAACTACGTGTACTCGTACTGGTACTCCTACTTTAATTTTCCCAATCTTTACGGAAAGAAAAGGTCAATATGCGCAATGGATTTCCCAGCACAAGGCAGACGAAGAGATCCACAATACAACATCAATAACGCTATAAAGGAGCGTCAGAATCACGAACCAACTCCAACTCCAACTCATACGCCTGCTAGAACAAATCTTTGGTGCCCATGCTCGCCACAACGAACACGTTCACCAGAACGAACAAGATTCCTGACCTCGCCAGCTCCGTCAACTTCAAGATCACGCCCACCAGAACGAACTCCGTGCACAAATTCAACTTTATCAACTTCAATATCACGCCCACCAGAACGAACTCCGTGCACAACTTCATCAACCTCATCAAATTCAAGATCTCCGTCTCCCACAAGAACGGTTTTTGTGGCTCCTTTGCAAACCGCAGTACAATCAGTCGTAACTGTTTTCGTAACGCCAAGCTTACAACCCATACCACCAGTAGCAACACAAACAAGCACACCTTCCATTAGCACACCTTCCGTTATCCCAACCTCTAGAATTCTGACGCCTCCTGGTGTGGTATTGGCGGCTGTTACGGGTGTACTTGGTATGGCAAGACTAATCACTTATTGTTAATTACTAACATCAAACAGCTGGTATTGCTGTCTTGGTCAATATGGGCATCATTATATGGCGCAGAAGGAAAAATCAAACGAGAAGAAAAGAAGAGGTATGCAACCAGTCATACTCTTCTGAAGAAAAAATGTCAGTCAACGTTATGAAGGAGCAGCGGGAGACTACTGAGACTGGGAACAGTCGGCCCTGGGACGCGAACTTATACAATACTCTATATCGCTTAGAAGGAAAGCCATCTCTGCGATAGCGGAACGCTTTTCATATTATCGCACATGGACTACTCTGGAGTAAGAAATGCGACATTTCAAAACAGAAATAATACGAATTTTAGACTACAGATTCAATAGATAATATTTTGAGAGTAGCGATTCAACTGACTCAAGATTTGCTTACTTGGTGTTCTTCAGTGTATTTAGCTTTTATCACACCAGAGAGGCATAAGCTTATACTGATGACATGTTCATTTGCTACGGAGCGAACTTGATCGGATAGGGCCACTAGTCCCCAACCAACAATCAACAACCAACAGCCGCTCTTTTACCTGTCACAAAAGTAGAACAAATATAAAGTAGAACTCCTTACTCTATCGGAGAAAAAGCTAGCTGTCTAGCCTGTTCTAGATACCTCTTGCTGTCGCCCCCTACTCATCCTTATTTCTACTACCTGCCCTCTCCCCTCCTCTCCCTCCCTTTTGCGCCCCCCTTCCCCCCCTTTGCTTTCCTGTCGTCGTAAAGGAGAGCTGCCAAGGTTACTAAGAAGGCTGTCGAAGCCGAAGTCGCGACCGCGACTTGTTCGTGTTCTCGCTAAGGCGGGAGCACCGGTGGGAGTGGTGGGAGTGGTGGGAGCGCTAGTACTAGTGACACTTAACGTAGGAGTATCCCAGCCTCCTACGCCCACGCCTCCCGTCCTCCCGCTTGAGATAGCGCCGAGGGAATCGCACTGACTATTAGCGACAGCGACGGGCCAGAGGGGGTGCAAGGGGGTAGGGGCACTTAGGGCTATACAGTAATAGCAAGGGCAACAGGTAGGAGCGACAGCGAGGATTGAAAGGGCCTCCCGGTACTCTATAGCAAAGTATACTCTATTTTCATAAAATTCGACTTTGGCTATATAAGTAACAAGTGTAGATTGATGATTGTTGGTTGTTAGTTGCAGACAAGTGGCCCTATCCGATCAAGTCCGTTCCGTAATTTGCGTTTCTCCATCAACACCCAGAACGGATGAAATCCTCATTGTGAGTGGGTGGACTGAACGTGGAATCAAGGGGTGTATTTGTAGTAGAAATAGACAGTTTGCAGTCGTCCTTCGGAACACTTGGCGCAATAGCCATACAATCATCATTCCAATTCATCTAGGTATTCTCTTTGTGAAGTACACCAGTCTACGGCTAAGCCAAAAGCTGTACTGACGTTGACACGGAGAAGGGATAGCATCCGCTCATACTGTACCGTATCCCGCTGCGATCCCTCGGAAACTGTTTCACGACAGCATAAGCTCTATTTGCACAGTAATCATGGGTGTGCACAGCCATTTTCAACGACATGTTTTCAACATTTCTCTGCACTGCGAAAACGCGAATAGCGCTCATCCAATTGCCAATTTACGGTCCAATATTATGTATATCCGGATATTATATTGTGTCTGAAGCATACGAAAGGACGGAATCAAGAATAGTTCCCATTAATCGGAGATCCACTCTTCAATGTGTTAGCTGGCTCCTAGTAGACAAGAAAAGGGGCAGAGACCTATTTTATCTTAGCCTAACTTAACTTGAAACTATTACATTATGTTATCTATTTAGACTAATTAAAATGATTAATCTACAGTAAGACGATAGGACAATCAAGGCAATTTGTTCCAGATATTTTAAACAATTTAGTACTTGGAATTAACTTACGCTAATATTTGAAAAATGAATCCCTGGATGTTCTGTTGTACAAAGATGTCTACCGTTATCTGTGAGCGTTTTTCACATGCTTACGCAGTTGTCTTCATCCAGTGTCGCTTAAAATCGTTTCGCTTAATCATCTACCCAATAGAAGGGGGGAAAGTGTTTAAATTTTTGATGGGTTAAAGTACCCCTTATGAAGAATTTGATTGCGAAATGTTTGTGAAGCATAAGTTGACTTGTACCTAGTTCATGATAGATTGTGCCCAAAGTGTGTACGCGTAGTAGGATCATGTCAGACGTCATGTGGCAATACGAGTACGGAACGGGAGTTCCTCCCACATCACCCGGGTCACGTTCCTACCGTTTGAAAGAATAGGATGGTTGAAAAACGACATTGTGGTTGAAACTACGCTTGGTATTAGTGTCAGTTTCAAGCATCGCTCCCGTAGGGGTTCGAGCTTTTCCCGGACTACACGTACTGTACAATTTGCCTCATCAAGAATGTTCGAGGGTATTTTTAGACACAAGATATTTTGATTGGCAACGTTTCTATCAAGCTTGGCCAATTACATGTTAGCGGAAAGGTATGTCAAAATATATATTGCCCTCGCGTTGCACGTTCAGTTTGTAGAGCATGAAAATCGATTGTGACACTTATAATACGTCTTCATGCCCTCTTTTTATGAGTTATTGGCTCTTAGCTGCGTCGTCCAAATAATCGCGGCTCAAAATGGGACCACACCACAGGAGCCAGCACTGGCCAATTTTGGCCAGACACTTAATGTGCCTGGTGCAGTAGGAAACTCCCGCATATTGCAATCCCGGGGTACCCACTAACGGCTTTCTAGATGACAAGATTCGACCAAGACTTCGTAGACGGTCTCGCTCTGGACCTCTTCTCGCCACACGACAGAACTGTGGTCGTCAATCAAAACTTTAATCCCCTGGATGGTCGGTTCGTTACCGGAGCAAGTGGCGAAACATTCGTTGGACTTCAGAACCATTCATACGTGATCCAAATGAGTCATTCGGCCAATGATCTCATCGCCAAGATAGAAATCCCATATGATATGGACCAGTTGAACAGTATGGGGGTGCAAGTGGGAAATACCTTCGTTGGGACTCTTTCAGCCGACAGGAGGAGCTGGATTATTGACGAGTCATCGCGAAATATCCACAGGAGCGAGAATAATACGAGGATTATCAAGATGACGAATATTACTGGCGAGTATCGCCTCCTCGGTCGGAGGAGTTTCGACGAGGCCAACATTTTTATTCAATATGGACAAGGAGAAACTAGGACCATGAACATTACTAGCGGTGGGATCCAGGAAGCGGAATTTGTCGACGGTCTGCGTGTTGCGGTTTTGGCTCAGGCGAACATGGCCTTGAATGTCGATATTAGAAGCGGTATCCCACAGCAAGCTCTTCCGCTGGGCATGGTTCCTGTAAACTCTTTCGCATGGGTCATGAAATCGAGCAGCCCAACAACAAATCTAGAAGCATCGATCAAATTCCCAGGTAAGCGAGTGATCATAAAGAGAGAAACTGGAATTTTGATGAAACTTGGCTAATCTTTTCGTTAGTGAACATGGGTATGGTAGCTGCAATTGAAAAGCAGGCCAACGAGAAGATGATAAGCATTGCAAAGCGCCAATTTAATGCTCCCACTTCAACGCCGTTTGTGATGGTTATGGCTGCAACCCACTTGCGAGATATGCCCAGATCGGGTGTTGGCCAAGTGACGCTTAATAACCCACAAGAGGTAGATGGAGAATACATTTTAGTGGCAGTTCCTGCGTCACTGCAGATGGTAATCTCAAAGTAGAAAAGGTATCTTTTGACTATCTTGCTTTGGGATCTTCACAGTGAATCTTTTACCTGAAACCGATCAAGTAAACAAGCAGATCTTCACGATTCCCTCTTCATCGCAGGGCAGCCCTGCCATTTTCCATTTCAACATCACTACAATACCGCACTTGGTTCGGATGGGCTAGAGGGCCAAGAGCGTCTCATTTCGTCCTCAAGCGGTTCTGGGCAGTTTCGAAGTGGCCATGATGCCGTACCATGGTACAAAGAGATTGATTGTGAATGTGATCTTGCTACAATTGTACTAATATTGTCCTGAAGGACGTTTGGAAAGCGCTTATTTCTAATAAATATGCCCCTTCCAAGTCTGAGGTTCACACTCCTAGCGTGTTAACAAAACTAATCAACTACTCAACGCTACTCGAGTAGTAATCGAGTTGAGTTGAATGAGTATGATTAGTAGATTCCATTGAATTGAGTTGATTAGTGGATTTGACTAACCGATTAATACTCGATTATTTTTATAAAGCGTGACTAAAAATAAGAAAATAGTACATGCCTAATATAGGGGCACTCGGCTAATTCCGTGCACGTGGTCGACCGCCCGGAGTCCGGCTAGCGATGCCGGGCGTACTACGGGGTATCGGGCCGACACTAATCGAGTTAATCATGATTTAATCGATTACTTAGCGAGTTAAGTTGATTAGTGGTTTTCACTACTCGAGTTGAATTTATTAGGTGCCACTAATCAAATCAACTAATCGAGTTGAACACGCTGCACAGTCCCACTATGGTAGTGAGGAGGACCAACTTGTATATTTCAAAAAGCAACAAGGAACAAACAACTCCTCCACCAGTGCACATCTCACCCCAAATCTCACCACAAAACCTTCACAAACCCCCCCCTAAAGGCCCCCTCCTCCCTCCTCGCCTTAACAGCATACCCCAAAGCCAACCAAAACGGCGCTCTACACAAACGTACTTAGCCATCTCCCTCAAAAACAAGAGGAGCCAAAGATACTCACACCATCAAGCACACCATCCCCACTCCCTTCGTGTCCCAAAACCCCTTCTTCCCCTCCAACACCACCGAAATATTAAACAAAAACTGCGCAAGAACATACCCCTCCTTCCTCACTTGCGCCCGATAGTAGCCCTCAGTCGTCAATTCGTCTCGCCGAAAGAGTCGGGCTTCATTGATGATTTCGAATGTGCACCATAGACTACCTAGGAGGAAGGGAGTAGACAGCCTTTCATTCCATCAGTATGGCTGTAATTCAAAAGGGACATGGGAGATATATAGGAGGAAAGTGGGGTAATAAGGAGGGGAGGGAGTACAAACCACCAAAACTCCCTGAACCAAACAATCATTGCAAGGAAATATACAATATCATATATCACAACATCGAAGAATTGCCAGGCCCAGAGGGTAATAAGGATTGCACGGTTTAACGGATAGGAGGGGTCGTGGCCTAGGAGGAGTGTTGTGGTGGACATGATGATCCCCGGGTTGTGTTCGCTCAATTGATTGATTAGGTCGAGTGTATTTGACTTTCGAGCTTGGGAAATCATCAGTAGGAACTAGATAGATGTTCGCAATTTGCTCTGGGTAGCCACTCAGTTTGAGATTCTGAAGTGCTATCGGCCTGGATGGAGATGTTGGTCGAGTGTTGGGTTACGTCATGTTAGCAATTGAAATGGATGTTGATGACTTAGCAGAATGAGGACTCAAAGCCATCAATATCGAGAGAGAAATTTATCCTGATGAAATAGATTCTGGCCCGGCTTTAAATTATATTCCATCCCATTCTCTCTAGACGCCTCCACCAAAAAAATAAATCTTAATTTTAACAACAGCAGGCTACTAAACAAGAATGTTGAAAGCCAAAGTCAACCATATGACACATGCCCATAAAGAATTTTACGCCTCTTTATGTACCCAACGCCGCCGCAAACAAATGCCGCCCGATCCCCTTTCCTTCCCTTCCTCCTTATACTACAAGCCCATCAACCAAATTCTCATCTCGTTCTGTATTTCCAGCCAATGCGCCGTAAACCCGGATAGGAACCGCGATCTCAAAGCTCTCACAGTCTAATACTTCTGCTGAAGCAAGAGTGACGCCCCGATCATCCCGGGCTATCTCTTCTAAAAGATCTTCCTTGACTGCCGTAATTTCGTTATCCATGAAGGATAGTCGGGGAGTGACGAATTCAATTCGTACTCGCCATTCGAGGCTGACTCCACTGGTTATGAACTCGGGTGTTCCTGAAATAGGTATTGCAGGCGAGAAGACCACTCGTCTTGCAAAAAGGGTCGACTCGGAATGAGACACATGGACCTTGCGAGTGACGCGAAGCACACTGGCCTCCGAACGCAAAGCAATCGAATTATCGATTTTCTCAGATGTTTCCAATGACATATGAACAGCATAGCATGGTATATCTGCGTCGGTGAAGTCGATAGCCGCAGTGACTGTTTCGCCTAAACGGTAGGCCGGCCTAGCAAGTAAGACTACAGCCACACGTTTCCCGCTGCGCGCAATTTCGAACCGGTTGGCACTTTGTTGTGACCCACTCGTGATATTGCTTCGCAAAATAGCCATGTCTATTGCTTCTTTTACCGTGACGGGTTCCTCGACCACCGATGAACGGCGACGGCCTCGATGATCAGCCGTTGGTGATAGAAGTCCTGCGCTAGGATGAGGTCGATTAAGCAGTTCATCAACATATGACAAAAACTCAGTTAGTGTTGACTGGGTTGCATTTGGGGCTGTATCAATTTCGAGGCTTTTGAAAATCCCCGGCATAGCTTCTGGCGAGCTTTCAATTACCTTGACGCGGGCTTGGTCACGAAGGATAATGTATGGAGACATCAAATCATGACCAAGAAGTTCTCCGTGGGTGTTCACACTTCCCAATATTCGGAAGGGTACCTCTACCGATTTTACTTGCTGCTCTTTAGCCCCGCCAGGCCTCTGAGTGCCAATAATCAGTTTATAAGAGATCTTGATCGCTTTTCCACGATGACTTGGTGGGAGGCCCCGAGGAAGTTTGAAAGCGTATTTGTAGCTCCTACTTTCTCCAGCAGCAAGGCGGAGGTCGACAAAAAGGATCGACTGCGGAGTGGACAGCAATGGTACCGCACGAGAACTCGCAACACCCCTCATGTCCTTGATGCTGCTGAGTTCACCATTTCCAAGTATACCACCAATCGACTCGCTAATACTACCCCATCCAAAATTCCTGAGGAGACCACTATTCCTTTTGTTGGTTTCTAGCCCAATGACACCACCACCTTGACCCCCCACTGCGCCCTTCCGTTTGACTTCCTCGAAAGGAGCTTGGCTGATTAGCGACCCGTCACAAATGAAAGAACCTTGGACTTGAGCATATCCCATCATCAACGTTTCCGGTGGTCGATGGTGATTTATCGGTGCTAGATTAGAAGGGCGCCTTGAATGGCCTCCATAAGCTGCGATTCTTCCTCCCTGCTGTGGGACATACTCGGACGCAAGAGTCTCTGTAGAGTTATTGCTCAGGGAATAAAACTCGCCACTGCTGCGTGGGGTTCCTAGGACACTCAATGGCGATAAAACTCGGGCTAGAGGTCCCGAGTGGTCTTTTGGTCCAGGAGTGGTATCTTTAGGTCGTGGGGAAAGCAATTGTGTATCTGGAGAGTTACTACCGCCATTTTGATCCCTAGAACCTAGAGGTGAGGCTGGAGGAAATTTGAATTCTGGCGGATTTGATCCCAGTTTTCTTCTTTCATTGGGAGAACCCGGAAGATTTGGTGTGCCCGGCGCAGTTTGAATACCGGACTGTCGATACCTCTCGGGTAAATTATATTCTTTACTGATAGGCGAGAATGAGGATACGAGGAGAGGAGATGGATGTGTTGAAGATCGGTGTCCAAGAGGAGCTTTCAAAGATTAGACTCTGTAACCATCTAGAAGAGGGCTTCAGTTCTTACCGGAAGGAGGACCTCCATTGACGCCGTTTCTTCTGGGTACTATCTGTAAACTGGCTGAGCGACTATGGCCCCTTGGCCTTCCTGGTCGATCAATCACACTGCTACCGTTTGCAGTAGTAGAACCCCCAGTTGTGCTGGTTTCACTGGCGGCTATAGAAATAATTGATACAGAACGACTGTGACCATTTCCTGTTTTAACCCCATTTACTGGCGCGGTGTCCCAAGAGTCCGAGACCCGGTGAGAATGCACCGAGACTGGCGCATTTAACGACAGCGTCGCCTTGTGGCCTTTTTGTGATTTCGGCGGGCGAGGCCGCGGACTGGCAGAGCCATTATTTTGTACTGAGGCCTTTCTCGGTCGGTCTCCTCCTGGCGCGAAGCCATTCCCATTCCCAATTCCGATTCCAATTCCATTCCCCGTAGCAGACGAAGGATGTAAGGATGTTCGTGATGAGGTGTTCGTATGCGCAGTGGTCGTGGCGATATTTTTAAAAGTGATTTCGCATTCGATATCCTCGCCGGCAAAGACCGTCTGCTCTGTCCATTGTACAAAGACCCTGATATTGGACAAGGGCGCCGACATGGTAGATGTGCAACGGAAGGTGGCCCCTCATCCACTCAAAGGAGAAGGAGTTTATGGCGGGTCGGAGTCAGTCATGAAGGTGATGAGGATGGGCCGCAAGAATTGGGCAGCATAATGAATGAATAAGTGAAAAGTGGTGGATTGGATATGTAGAGGAGAGGAGAGGAAGAGGAGGATACGAGTAGCGTGTCAGAAGGTGCCGGTGTTGGGATGAGGCTCCATACGAGTAGGCGGAATATGATCAGCCCCCACAGCCATACAATGGAACTCCACTCATAGTCCTGGTAGGGTAGCGTAGGGTTAGGTAGGGGTAGGGGTACTCGAGTACGCTCCCACTAGTACAGTTGTGATAGCTACTAGTTTCTACATAGTAGGTAGTCGCCAGCCACTAGTACCGACTAATATGGCAAAGCCGAGCCGAACTTGCGCCACAACCCGCCACAACGCCGGATCTAGGATTGGCCGGCCGGCGGGAGCTGTTGCTGATGCTCCAGCCGATATGATGCTGATTGCAGGCCAAACAAGCTAAAAGTAAACAAGGCGGGGAAGAGCGACTGCTGGACGTACGCCTGCAGCAACACTACTCGTACCTGATAAATTGTATCTACTCATACATCTACACTCTTCACAAATCCCCCCCTCACCAAATTCTCCTCTCGCCTTCCCACCCTACTTGGATCCTTTCTCCGTACGACGCCTGTTGCGTCTTTGAAACCCCTCCTCGCCAATCTACGACTACGAGCAAGTCACAAGCTCCCCTCCCTCACCACCATTCATTGCCCGGCTAACCTTTGGAATGCAGGTCTGCACCGAAGAGAGGACGCAAACCTCAAGAACGATGACTTCCTTCATCACCACAGTGTGAGTCTCTCTATTTTCCTCTAGATGGCTTCCAGCTTTCTTTCTTTCCTGAGCCCAAGGGCTGCAAAGACCCTCGAGCCTGTGTGCACCTTGACCCAGTCCACATCCACCCAAACCATCGCTGTGCACCACGACCAAGATGCAAGGACCCATTCGCGCGCGATTCTGACAATGCACATGGATTTGGGACATTTCACTCACATCATGGCATCTCTAGCAACCAGCGCACGCGCGGATACAGACCCCAACGACCCGTAGGCAAGGGCGGTGCAAACGCTTCCCAATTAAGGCAATATGCAGAGGCTACATTAGGTGGGGGTAGTCTGAAGAAGATCGTCAAGCTTCCCGAAGGAGAGGACGAGAACGAATGGCTGGCAGTTAACAGTAAGCTGGACTAAGTACCCGAGAGAATTGGTTGCTGACGGGTATAGTGGTGGATTTTTACAATCATATCAACCTTCTGTATGGATCCATTACCGAATTCTGCTCTCCACAATCATGTCCAGAGATGAAGGCCACAGACGAGTAGGATAGCCCAAGAATAGTTGTCCTTCAAACCTCTGACATTTTACAGGTTCGAGTACTTATGGCAAGATTCCGAAAACTTCAAACGGCCTACCAAAATGCCAGCGCCGACATATATTGAACACTTGATGAGCTGGGTTCAGAGCAATATTGATAACGAGGCGGTTTTCCCCAGCAGAATTGGTGCATGGACCTTTTCCCTCTTTTTTATGATCTCACTAACTCCATCTAGGTGTCCCTTTCCCAAAATCCTTTCCCAGCATGATTCGACAAGTCTTTAAACGCATGTATCGTGTGTACGCCCACATTTACTGCCACCATTACCCTGTGATTAGAGAACTTGGCCTCGAAGCTCATCTCAATACAAGTTTCAAGCATTATGTTCTCTTTATTGATGAGCACAGCCTTTGCAGTGGAAAAGACTTCTGGGGACCCTTGGGTGATCTTGTGGAGAGTATGCTTCGGAGCGATTGATTGTAGCCGCTATGAGCTGATGCATGTTATTGAGGGCATGGGTTAAGGCGTTTATGTCAAGGAATGGAGTCGTGGAAGAAGGTCTGGACGATATGGCTAGCTTGGTGCCAGGCATGGGCATGGCGATGGAATGTTTTTAGAGATTGCCTATTTGAGGTAGAGCCGCAGCAATTGCAATAAACCTTTGTAAACTACCTATGAGTGGGCTGTATATCTTGTGTGTTACCGCGCCTGCTGTTCTACTGAAATATTCCCACAACGAGAAAAAGGAGACGCCTCCGATGCCATCTGCAAAAATCCAAGTAACGCATTCTATTTCGCATCAGAATTCCTATAAAAAAGTCTCTCTTTTCCAGGTTTCGACTTCCTTTCTCGACCACCCAACACAATGGAAGTGGAGATCACAGGAAATGATTTCACGTGACGAGCCGAAAAAGCTTCGCCGAACCTGGAAGCTCCATAGTATCATCAATTCCGACGTCTCCCGCTCAAAATCTTAAGCTCACAACTCCCCCCTCGTCCCTCAATTGAACAATTCACATCATGTTCACCAACCGCGCCCTTCTCCGTGCTACGCGGGCAACCTCATCCATCTCCCAACGTGTCGTCGTTCCTCGAGCATCCCTCGCACGAAACTACGCTACCGCAGCTGCTGCCGATTCGAAACCACCGGTTGCGCTTTTCGGTCTCGATGGAACGTATGCTTCTGCTCTGGTGGGTGCCCTTTCTGATGGATTTCGAATGTTGGGGGAGGACGGAGGATGGCAATTGGGCTTGCGCTCTTGGGACTCGGACGATGACCAATTGATGGAGAACGGCACAACACCAGGATGAAAGGGCTAACATTTCACGCCTTATAGTACACTGCAGCAGTAAAGTCAGCCTCTCTGGACTCGACCGCCAGAGCCATCCAAACCCTCCATGAGGTCTACGAGAAAGACGCTAAACTCGCAGACACCCTGGGCGCCCCTACTTTAACTCTTGAAGACAAATCCGCCGTCATCGCTGAATTGCAGAAGCGTCTTGGAAGCCACAAGGACGAGACCGTGAAGAACTTTCTCGAGGCTTTGGCAGAGAACAACAGATTGGCTATCTTGAAGGGTGTTTGCGAGCAGTTCAGCGTCTTGATGAGTGCATCAAGGGGGGAGGTTGAGTTGACTGTTACCAGTGCTACGGTTGGTTTACCCGGCACTTGAAGAGAAATCGGGTTTGCATGGAAAATAGGTTACTAACGAGGAATTTTGAATAGCAATTGGACCACAAAACCCTTTCACGCCTCGAGAGCGCAGTGGCAAAGTCCCAATACGTTGGACAGGGAAAGAAGTTGAAGGTTACGAACAAGGTATGTGTCCTCCAAGTCTTTTTCGTAAAATTTCCAGGAAAACCTGACATCCCGAAAGGTTAACCCAGACATCCTCGGAGGCCTCGTTGTGGAAATTGGTGACCGAACAATTGATTTGAGCGTTTCTTCCAAGATGGCAAAGATGAACAAGTTGCTCACTGATACCTTGTAATTTACCAACCTAACTCGTCGTTTCGGTTTCTTTTGTTTGGCCAGGGTATGGGAAAGTGGAAAATTCCTGGTGAAGAATGGGCATGGAAAGCCGACAAGCTTTGCAGGCTTGATATGGAAGGAGGCATACACGGGAGGGATGCATTTGTACATGAATGAATGGTGATTGATACAATAGAGTGTTTTCTACCGGCTTCTAACTCTCTTGGGGTTCTATATGCTCATGTCAAAAGCTGCCGGATTGAAGACCCCTTCTTTTCACAATAATTTTCTTTTTTCTCCCTGCTTGGCTACGCTTTCGTATTCTACTAGGTCTAAGTTCCATTCACTTGTCTCATTCAAACCATGTCCACGTTTCAATTTTACTTTGGCTCTCTTCATCGAATCTGTTTTCAAGCCTCTCTCAGCTGGAGGTTCTACGTAATCGACTATTGACCCATCGTTCAATTTGTTGCGTTCTGCCATGGTTTTATGTACTACTATCTTTACTTGTAGTGGTCAACGCACACCCTATTTCAAAATCAAAGTCCTAATTTTATACATATAAATTTAAATAAACTCGCTAATCAGCTTTCCTGTCATTTTTACCTGCCTTTGAACTTTGTTTGTATGAAGTGGGCTTTTGGAAGAGAGGTGGTTTCGTTTTATTCCTAGTACGAAGTATTTAAATATCTTCGCTTAGCAATTTACTTTGGGCTCTTGGTATTTGTCTTTTCGAAATGGGTAGTTTGAGATTCTTGGTTTTCTTTTTATAGGAGAATGTATGTATCGGTAAACAACCAACCTTGCAGCCTACAAATACATCCGGCGATATTCGCTTAGCTAGTTGAGCTGGGACCAGGAGTAGGAGGCGATAAATTATAAGTCTTACTGAAAATCTACAATACAGAGTTGCGGAATAGATCAAAGTAATCTAACAGTCTAACTTCGCACTCTCATACCAATAGGGAGACCCAAGCCCGGCAAAAGATATCATTCTCAATCACGTTAATTTTTCTATTGGGTCAACCCTCTATTCCGCTTCGAAGCACATGCACGATTCCAAGAAAATCAAGACGTTGTGGATTGATGACATTTGCATAAACCAGGGTAAGACTTCCCACGTTCAGAGGATGGTACTGTATGTCAATAGCGCTATCCATAGGATGTCCAATCCAAAATTTATGATGTTTTGTTGCTCACTGGTAATCTTACATAGGATGACCTGTACGAGTTAGCTGAAGGCGTAATCATGTGGTTTGGGGAAAACAAGAGTCAAGGTTCTGTTGACGTAGTGTAGCCTCTGTCCGCAATCTGTTCGCCAACCTCCCTATGTATACCCATTACCCATTCTCCTCTATCGCTCTGAAAGCCTTCAACTTCAAGTCTCAACAAGAAATAGGCCCTGCGATTACCACTGACTGCATGTAGTCTTTGACATGCAACATAATGTTTGCAATCCCTTCTTCGCCGCTCTGACCTTCCACCAGCGTCCCCTACCCAAGAACTTCTTACTTACCGATCCGTCCTAGAGGCCATGGGGTATACATATACTAAATCTGAAACACTTCTTGATTTGTGGTTGAAGGAGATGCACTTGAAAAAACAGGCCGAAAAGACAAAGACGGTTAAGCATAGAATCACTAAACTTGTATAAGGAAACTAAACATAGACGTTCTCTTAAGGAGCTCCAAGCTTGCAGGGACATTAAAGAATGATTATCTATCTAGGATTTAGGCATTTATCCGAAGTATGATTGAAACCTGCTATTTTGAGCTCGAAGATCTCGTACCCTCTGTAAACATCGCAGACACTAGTATGTCGCGGGTGGTAAAGCTTTCGGCTATTGCCTTTGTATATGGAACGGTTCGCTTACCACTGAGATATTTGCTCTATGATCTTAAGGGCAAGGAGACACGGAGCCTAAAGACCGCATATATGATATATAGCCTTATTGGAATTGCCACCTACAAAAGCAGAATTATGCACACGGTTCTATTCGTATGTTTCCAATGCAACAAAGGTCTGACTTGTCTATCCTTCCCAAATTCCGCAGTTACCGTGCGGTGCATCAGCTTTATATCCACCTCAGCCTTTTCATGCACGTGGAGAAGAAGCTTCATATTGTGTACCGTCAAGCAACAGAGTTTAACAAGAGAGATGAGGATAGTCTTGCTCTACTAGGTCTGGCCGGTGAACAGCAACGACCACCCGTGAGGTCCCAATATGAACCGCAATAGCCAACGTGGGTTTGGTTGTATAACTCGACCCCATTCCCAGAATACCACTTTCCAAACCTTGTTTCCGGCACACAATTACCCTTTCTCTATCAAGGAAACTCACGAATACTTAAACGCCATCAGGTAGACACTATAAACGCATCTCCAAATCATCGAAGGAACAAGAGGCAGGGCTAGCTAGTTCTTCTGTTTTTACTACTTTCATCGCATAATAATGAGGATACCCAGGAGATAACATGGCAAATCCTTATCCGTAGCCCAAAGGAAGAGCCCGTCCCCGAACAGCTTTGATCGCGCAGCTTCGACTCTTCGAAAAAATGGCATGAGAAATGAAATCTCAATTGCAAGTCCTCGCTTATTTCCCTCACTCAAGCCAGGCTGTTAAGGAATGTCAGCCCTGGATGATCAGGCCGCCGCTACTTGGGGGATCATGACTACTTCAATCAATTTGCACCACGGAATATAGGCGCGTGGTTCTCAGGCTGGAACTGGAGATGAAGTATTCGTTATTACTAGTACTGTTAGTCCTTTGATTCTGAGGAACAGAAAAAGCGTGTACAACTTTGTTGGGATTCTTGTGGTTATGCATTAGAGCGATGTGTGCTATTGTAACCCTCAAATCGACGAATTGATCAACACTACTAGTGATTCGTCAATTAGTACGCATGGTGGAATGGACGGTATTATTTGATCACTTCTAGGATGCGAATTATTCGTCACTTTTACTAATAAATGAGGTTAGTTTTTAATTAAAGCACACCCTCGCCTAAGAAAGTAAATAAAGCAACCCAAAAGAAGAAGTAATTAAAGCACAATCTCAACGCAACAAACAAGCAAAAAGTGAAGCTATTCCAAGATGCGATTATTTCGCCTTTGGTTTACGCCCGGCACCAACTCTCGCTCCGCCTCGTCCCTTTTTTTTGGTGTTGTTACCTGTCTTTTTAGTAGTTTTTCGTCGTTTTTGCTGTGGTGGTACTCTTGTCTCTCTAGCTATTCCACCTCATTATCCGTCACAAATAAAAGCTCTTCCACCCCCCATCCCCCCTCCTCTGTACCCCTCTCGTCTCTACCCCCCACGTCACCTACCCTCCTCCCACGCCTCCGTCCTTTTCTCTATATAGCGGCAACAGGGGCTCTATTGTTTTCGACTTGTACAGCTTTAGCGAGGGAGACTTTATAGTAAAGTATCGGTAAGGGCAGTGGTGGTAGAGAAGAAATAAGGGTTAGGGAACACAGACCCTCATATAGATTTGTATGTTTTTGTGGTGTTTACCTGCCACATTCCATTCCTCTTTCCCACCCACCACCCCACTCGTCCCACACCGTAACAAGCCACAACAAAAGCTCATTATAGAATGGATTATCTTATTTGTGACGTCTATAATAGTACCCCGCAAATCTATTGTACGGCGAATGCAATAGTCTAATTGGTCAAACCGGCAAATCCGGGGTTATCATAGCACAGATGGACTTAGGGGGAGGGCGAATACAAAGATGTAAGATCTTAGTCCACACTATAATACAAGTTAATAGACTACCATCTCTATAGTCACACAAATATGAACGAACTCGCTATTTAGTTATAGGAACAGTGGAATACACAGCATTCCCAAATCACCATGACAACAATCAATCACAGGAGATACAAATTACACAGTCTTTTCAAAAAGAGAAAACACCCGTGTTAGACCATCACCAAAATCTTAAACGTAGTACATCATAGGTAGGAAGACAGTGAATCCACAAACAACCCACATTCAATCCACCATCCCAAGAGAAGGAAATCCGAATTCCAAACATTCATCAAGAATCCAGCTGCCGTCGATACATTACCTACCTTCGTAGCCTAGGTATCATTCAGACAATTGCAATAATTCAATCTCCCAGAGCTCCAAAGACCCTTTGAGTCTTACTTTGTTCCGCAGAAAGAAGGGGGTAAAGTATTATACTAAAATTAATTCTATACCCCATGAAGCTGGGCTACGTTGGCTACAGTTGGGTCATCCGGTTGTGGGTGTACATTGTGCGTATCTTCTTCTTGTTCTCGTTTGTTTGACTGTTATGCTTCTTGGGGAGCCCCCGAGTTATGCTGATAGCTGTGTAGTGCGATTTTTGGTTGTTGGGCCTGGGGATCTTATTGGTGCTTTTAGTTTCCGTCTTCTTGGAAAAGAACTAAGTTTTGCTCGTAAGGAGAAAGTGGTTCTCTAGGATATGCACTACACCGGATCTGTAACTCTTTACTTTACTTGCTTGCCCAAGAAGACAACTCTGTGGTTCGATTCGATTCTCTTGGATCTTATTTTGGTACAGCCGAATCAAGACTCGCTTTGCTGTGATATGTAAAGCCCATATCCGACGTACAATTGCTCTTTAACTTATCCATTTGACCTTACTATCCTAACGAAATATATACTCATCGATACATCACAACACAACTTCTATCACACCCAACCAAACCTTCTCCCTTTAGGCATGCTAACATCTTAATAACATCTTAATATAAATCCCCTAAATAGCTCCAGCCAATCAACACTCTCTCTCACCACTTTCTCCTACAACTATAGATTAACCCAGACACATACCTACCATTAACAATCCCTTAACAATACCTATATTCCTCTCCCGCGTAAAAAAAGTTTAATTATCTATTCCTCAGCTAACCTCACCAGACTGCTCCTTTCCTATCAAGTACACCCAAATCCCATATCAAGTTCAAAAAGTTGGGAGTCCTGTAATATTTAAGTTAGCTGCCTAGACACATAAAAACTCAGTAATCCTACAT